ATAGACATAAATGTAAAGGGTTAGCTCGATCAAGCTATCGAATTGATTAAGAACTTCTAGTGAGTTGAAACCACCTCCGAGAGAAAGTTTAAGCACTTTCGGATTATCAAGTTTGGTGTGATCAAGACAATCATCATTTAGCGGTGATACAAATACTGTATCACGATGGTAAGTTTCCAACCATTCGAGAATGTTATCGCTGACATCTTCACGAACTAAGTCACGGTGTCTGGATCTAATGATCTCTAAGGATTTAATGGCCGTGAAATGTTTTAAAACAGATTTGATGACATACATATCATGGCCATCTACTTCTAGACGGTCAATCACCTGAGTTGCATCCATTTTCTCAAAATACCTTTCAAAGGTGTCAAATGATATGATAGTACACATGTTACTTTTGCGATTGTTGATGTTCTTGGGGTAATGAAACTTCACTTTCAAGCCATTGGGGTTGATTAGCTCTTTCCTCAAGGGCTGGGGGTAATACACATAAATATTTCTGTACAACTTGGACTTTGCAATGAAGTAAAACTTGGAATGTAATGGAGCAAGCGCCAAAGCTTGGTGTTGATTAATATGGTTGAATACTTCTTTTAGTGCCTCATATGGAAGGCTTGTTAGTGAGGCCATTGCGTTAAATCGAGTTCAACCTTTTTAGAATCAGTGGTGACTTGACTGAAAGTTTATTATCTCTGTTGGGGTTTAATGCTCTGCTGGGGTTTAATGCTCTGCTATAGTTTCCTCATCCTGCACTCTGACACCACAGCGTTAAATTTGGAAATATTGGATGCAAAATACTTGCCAGTGCACAGAAGTGCTGTGTTGGTGGCAAAATTTAAATCCTACCATGCGCTATAGTAGACAATATATCGCATATGCAGTACGCCTTTCCAACATGAACTATGTTGTAACGTGTTTGGTGTGTTACCTGAAGCAGTTTTTATTATCTTACTAAATTGTTCTCTCCTACATCGTCGCTGCAAGAGAAACAAAGCCAACAAAAAAAAATAAAAAAAAAATAACAATTTTTCTTCTCTCTCTCTCTGAACAAACGCCGGCCCTTTTTCAATTACTCCACAATTCACACCATCGATCATTACAACTCTTTAGTTAATGTCTGATCTATATAACAAGTTAGGTCCACAAGGACGTGCACTATTGAATAAATCACAACAACAAGCTTATACCTACAACAATGACCCCGATCACCAGCCGCAAGATCTTGACTTTGTCATTGATGAACTAAGAAACCCCAAGCCAAACACCACAGTCAACAGAGTATTGGGTTATCTATACAACTATGTTCCTTACATTAAGCATGAGAGGAATTTAGGTTTAGTCATTGCCAGTTTTTTAAACACCCCAGTGTGTTTTGGACCTAATACCCCGCCCTTTGAAGAAAACTATTTGATCATTGAGGTGTTTAAATTAATTACTGACAAGAAATTAGAAGTTTCTCAACCAACATTATCAATCAAAGATTTCTACACTGTTATTAGGAAAGAGTTGGAGAATTTTGTATGGTATAATCCTAGTGCAAATAGCTGGAAAGTGTTGCCGATAATTTGTGGAATGATGTTATCGAATTCGCTTCGTAATGAATTGTACGTTGAGGCGAATTATTTCCAATACAACTGGTTCTTTGATGAGTGGGATGAAAAAATGAAGAAGTTATTTGTCCACTGTTTAGAGTATAGTTTGAGCAGCAGTCACTCGGAAGAAATTGTGTTTCTTAGTGTAACAAGTTTAGCCTTGGTTTATCAAAAGGGTGAAAGCGTTAAGAAATATACCAAGCGTATTGGTGATGCATTTATGGTGGAAGTCCTTATGGATATAATATTTCTATCCAACAAAGTTTCAACCTTGCTGTATCAACAATATTTCAGACTTAACCCACAAGGCCCAAACATCGAAAATGAAGCAAATAAGCAAATTTTGCAGAAGCCAGTGATTAAACACTTGAACAAGTTTTCCTTCCTTCTTGCTGCGTATTTCACCCTGTTGAAGTATAATAATGACAATGAAGACTTGATTCTAGCAAACTTGACGAGAATTGCCGACTTTAACAAAATGGTTAACCACATGTCTGCATCTTCAGTATTCAATACATTTGCAAGTGCCAAGGAAAGCAATCCTTTGTTTCAGCTGTTTTGGTACTTTATGAAGAACTTGTTGTTTTCTGAAGTAATCATTTTCCAAGGTATATTTACCAGATTTCTTACTGGGAACCAATCAAATTTCATTTGGTTTAATAATCGAGATTTGGATATCATGCAACGTGCATACAGACAAGTGGCATTAAACACAATACCTAGCTTGTACTATCTCAATTTCATTTTGCTTTCAATAGGACAAGGAGGGTTTGATAATTACAATTTTGTTTACTACCTAGGTGTCGAATTGGCCCTCTCAACGGGCCATCATTTAGAACAATTGGAATTGCGATTGTTTCTGGATTATAATGAGATCAACTTGTACCCGGATGTGTTGGATCACAACTATATAATGCAGCTGAAGGTGTTGTTTGTATTGGGACTATGGGAAAACTATTTACAACAAAAACCCATTCAAAGCGAACCCTATGCCAAGAAAATTTACCTCCTTGTCAGGGATTTAGCCAATGACTCCAAATACTCGAGTGATGATTTAATTGAAGCAAGTCATTCGGTGTTGTTATTTTATTTTGCCAATAGTAAGAATGTTGATCTTATTGATTGTATTGAATATGTCAATTTATTAATCAGCCAGTTCCCCAATCGGCTATCAGCCACACAATTGTGCATTGCTATTGAAACCATTGGTAAAAAAATTCTTTCCAATCCTCAACCATACCCGGAAAACTCCATTTATATCAGTTCGGCTGATGAATTTTTCCATTTCTTGGCCGATAAATGTGCTCCAATTAAACCCGGATTCCCCATAAAAGCAACTATTCCACTGGATAATCCCAGTTTTGCTTCCGCGCAACCCATATCGGAGATTGAAGCTCATGCGACATTGAATACGTTGGAACAGGATAAGAGAATGGAAAACGATATCATCCATGAAAACAAGGCCAAAAAACCCAAGGACAAGGTTGTTCGCGATCTTTTACCTCGTTTCAAAAAGGAGTACAAGTTTGAAAATCGACTTGCTCCCGAAACTGTTCGAGAAGCTTCTGTATTGGCATTGATCAATTTAGTGCCGTATTTCCCATTGTCGGTGTTTATTACATGGTTGGAGAGAATATGGGATTTGATTGTAAAGAGTAACGTACTGGAGGCTAATTATTTAACGGGTATGTTGTGGAAAGTATTGAGTGATAGTCTCGATTTGAATCGAGTCGAGTTGGCCATGAGGTGGTGGTATGGAACAAAACAATTGTCAGAGAGAAATTATGTTGCTGCAAAAATATAAAAGACAGACAATAGAGCCAATGTTTTATAACCATTATATAGATTGATCATGACGTTGAGTGTTTGGATAAGTCAAGCTTCGATTGGAGTAGCTTCTCTTTAATTCCATCAAATCATGAGCAGCGCCAAAGTCTTTATTGATATTGCTGGTGCTGGTGGCGTTGATGGTGGCGTTGATGGTGGCGTTGGTGTTAGTGTTGAAATTGTTCCCAAACTCGTACTTTATTGAGTGGGTCGACCCAGATCCTGATGCAGACGAAGACACTGGAGTGAATGGATTCAGTGGGATAATCATCAGTTGATTCATCTTGGACGCGTTGTACTGCTCTAATATTGATAGCGACTTGTATTTAATAAACTTGCAGATTTTGAGATATTTTAAATCTTCATCCAAGTTTTCATTATCCCAATCGATACTTTTGTAGTATTTGCTCTCAGCAGACCCATTTGCGTGATCATCTTCCTCTTCTTCGTCATCGGTATCATCATTTTGCAGTTGCTGTTGATATTGTAAAATTTCCAGCCTTAATTCATCCTTCATCAATTTATTAAACAATATATCCTCATTGGTTTTCTTGGAATTAACACCTGGTTTATAATTGAGAAACACAGTAATGAATAAATCAACTGAATTGGTGAGAAGATTGACCGAGTCGTTAATATTTGTAATCAACTCATTCCTTTTCAAATACTTCATTTGGCAAATAAGTAAATACAACATTTGTAATACCATGCATTTCTTCAAATTGATAACCGTTAAGGACAACCCATTCAACATTGGGTTAAAAGGTGACATTGGGATATCTTTAATAACTCGCTTTGCAGCGCTAGGTTTAGCATTGGATCGTCTTCTCTTTACCGAAAAGTCATTAATCACAAACCCATCCTCATCGACATCCAACCCCAAACTCTCCATCACTATGGAATTTGAGTTCACCAATGGATCATTTCTTTTCTCCTGTGCTAAGCTGGCGTGGTAGAATATCAAGTTAAAGTATTGCAACACTTCCAGCGCAATTCCAGCAATCTCTTTATAATACACAAAATCCAACTCCTTATCAACAATAAAATTGAGATAATTCATCGATCTGATTAGTACGTAATGGAAATTTAGCTGAATTTTAATCAACTGCGACGCAGTGTACATATCAGGTACGCCAGTTTGATAATAATGAATCATCACCTCTTGTTTTAGATGTTCTTGTGTCATATCGTGATATAAATTATTGTGTGATATGTTTAACAAGTTGGGCAATCCTAAATCCAAATTGAATGGAATCAATGAAAACACCTTATTCTTCAAGGACTGTCTCCAATCTGACAAGTTTTTATCAATTGTTAAAAATTGATTAAAGTTGTAGTTTAAATTTCCATCATTACCGTCTCCGTCATCTTCGTTCAAGATCCAATCCAATCGGTGGTGACTATGCGCATTATTAGGGTGCTCTTTTTCCTTCTTCTTTTTATCCAGCTTCAAGTACTGGTAATAATTGGGCGAAAACGAGGATGGAATGATAATATTCAATAAATTTAAAAATTCGATGCTTGGTTTCAACAACGTATTGAAAAGATCGTCATTATCTCCAAGTAAGGAAGACAATTTTTCCGGTGTCAACTGAAAATATCGATCAATAGTTACAGGGTTAATCACTGTTGTATTGAGACTAGGTTTGAAACCAAACTTTAAATTGAAGCATTTCAATAATACTTTAAAAGTCCAAAATATTTTAACTCTATTGCGGCGTTGTTGCACATTCAATGACAAGTCGTTGAAGAATAAATTTTTGGAATTTAAGTTGATACCTAGTATACCAATGAATGCGTTAATAAGCGAGGACAATATCAACGATTTCTCTTTGTTATTGGTAAGAAGTGAGTAGTAAAGTAAAAGCAAATACGTTTGAAGTTGACTGGTTGAAATTTGGAACCCGTTAAAGTAGGGCAATATATCAAACAATGACTTCAATATTGACTTGTCTCTGTTTATAGAATAATGAGGATCCGAATGGTTCAACAACAAGTTCAAATTGATGGTGGGGTTGTTGATAAAAATCATGGCATAAGTCTGGATAATTGTCATTAGAAACCTGTTTACAAGTTGATAATCGCTGGTGTTGGACAAGTTGAACCCGTTTATTGTGGAATCATCATAAGTAAATATAAATGGATACATTGTGTGAAAATCATCGTAATTTCGTATAAATTCAGTATAGTCAAAAATGGGAATGAAAATATTGTAGTTGAGGAAATACTGTGTAATTTGAGCATCCAACTCAGTCTTGGATTTGAAAACCTTTTTGAAATTGTTAATCAATTTAATAAATAAGTCATATACGTCATGTGGCAAGTCATTCATGTCTCCATCTGGAGAACTTGTATTCGTTCCAGTTAAAGGATTAAAAACCAAGTCCAAGTCTTTGTTATGAGCTTGGTTATTTTTGGCATATGAAGGGTCGTATAAATAGCTATTGGGATCATTGAGAAGGAAATTGTGACTATTGGTTATTTTCAAAAATGGCATGTGTAAATTGATCAACAAATGGTTGAACTGAGACTCAAAATTGAGATTATCGTTACCTATGATAATTCCCCGGTCATCAAGATTAAAAATTTGGTCTATAGGGTTGTTGATTTGCACAGATTGATTTGTCGTTTGAAATAAAACTTTGTCATTGGTGGTTGTAGTGGTGGGAATCGTTGTTGGAACCGGGCCCTTCTGTGGAGTCATAGTGATGTCTCTAGTTCCTATATCATGACCCGAGTGTTCTCGTAGAAGCCGAACTTCTTCCTCTAGTGCCTTGACTTTCTTCTCAAGATTTTCAGTGTATCCTTTAGGAAATGCTCTTCTGGTTAATTTATCCGATGTCTTGCACTCCAAATCAGCCTTTTTACAATTCTGACAAGGCGATAGCCCATCACATTTGATCTTTTTTATTCTGCATCGATCACAAGCTTGTGACACTCGAACCCCACTTGACGTGTTGATTAGTTTCAAACTGGGTGTGGGTTTTACTTCGTTTTTGATATCCATGACGTTATGATCTTTGTTTTACTTCTCAATAATGTCAAAGAGTAGTGGTGCAGTCTCCCTGTATGAAGTATTAGGTCAAGTGGTGTGTGTATGTAGTAATAAGGTGATATGACGAAATAGTATAGTGCGTATGATTGTTATTTTTTTTTTCTTTCTTCTCTCTCTTTCTCCCTCTCTTTCTCTCTCTGTTTTTTTTTTGTGGGTTTTCGGGTTTCCCCAGATATTTTGTTTTTTTATTTTGTTTTTTTTCTTTGGCTTCCTCCTCCGGGTGAATGGAATTTTACGGAAAACAAAAAATAAAATCAATGCTACCAAATTGTGAAAAAAAAAAAAAAAAAAAAAAAAAAAAATAGATAATAGGTACCACTGAATAATAAACACAGGGTACAATATGATTATGATTATAGTCTAGCAATATCTGCTTATACATAACAGGGCCTAAAAGATTTTACTGTATCTCTCAAATTGCTGTTGCATAAACAGAGTTATCAAAGTATAAATATAACAAAGACATGTGTGCATTCTTTAAGTCTTAGTCTTATTGTTAAAATCACGCTAATTCTTCAAAGCTCTGAAGAAGCTAAAAGTAGAGTTTACCCTCCTATTAAAACGACCAAAAAAAAATTGGGATAATCACTCCTTTGTAAAATGACAAGATGCTGATGCGCTTAAAATCAAAATCCTCTCTATTATGAAACAGTGTAAATACAAGGAGAACCATTCTTCAATTGCAACATATGGTTTTATATTACTGTGTAAGGGTCACTTTATATGTAATGTGATTCTTTTTCACATAATCGAGGTGAAAACAAATTCCTCTGCTACAAATTCCGTAATTGGTAAAGGATAAAAGCTTAAATCTCTACTAAAATGCAGCAAAACACTTCATGTTCATTTTAAAACCATCTAAATAATATTTGGCATCGATGAAAGTAATGACTGTAGCCTTTTTGATCCCAAAACGAACCAATTTCGTTGCAATATATTTAATTTTGAGACTCTTCTTATTACTACTGAAGATTAACTTCTCAACAAATAGCCTGGCTAGCTCAATCGGCTAGAGCATTCGACTCTTAAATACAAGACATCGAAAGGTTGCGGGTTCGAGTCCCGCGTTGGGCTTTTCTTTTTGCATTTTTTTCATTTATTTTTTTTTTGAATGTCTCTCGCTGGAGAGAGGTCAAACTAGTATTTCATGCTTTTCTATGTATCCTTTATTTTATTTTTAGCATACTACATTATGTTGCCGTTATCCTATTAATCATTGTAAGCCTATTTTACACACTAAGTGCGTTGTACATTGCATCGATAGTTTTTTAAGCATGTTATTTTTGATGTAAATATTTGCAACAATTTCGTTGCAAATTCTGCAAACACGTAATAATTTTCAGGTCTATTCCACTACCACTTTGAAATAACTACTAGTAATTTTAATTGAACGAATGTCAAATACAACTTGACGGTATACACGATTGTTCTTCTTATATATAAAACCTACGTGGCTTCTAGCCCCCTAAACATAAGGATCGGTTTCCTTATCAAGCCATGTCCAAACTTTATCACCAACTTCATCACTCAATAAATCTTCTCTTCCTTTAGCAGGTGTACCAAAAGAAATTGAATGGTCACCGTCCTTGACATCTGGAGAAAGAGCAGCATATAATTCTGTGTAGGCACCCATTCTCTTTGGCCATAAAACATACTGGTAAACATACCTCTCAAGTGCACTTGCGTGTCTTTGTAAGTCTGTATTCAAGTAACCCGGACAAATTGAACTGCTAATAACATTGGGGTAATCATGTTTTCTGGACCATGTACGGGCTTGGATCAAATTAGCCGCTTTACTTTGTCCATAGAGTTGCGTTTTGGTGAGATTGTTGAACTTGGGCACTTTTTCGAAATTGATGTCCTCCCAGAAAATTCCGCCTCTTGGTGCAAACATATGGTAAGTTGATGATAACCACACGATTCTGGACAAGCCCTTGGGGTTTGTTTCCGAGGTCTTGATGAAAATAGGATCTAATAAACGTTGCAACAAGTGGTGGCCCAATACATTGGTTCCTATTTGAATTTCATAACCTTGCTTGGACTTTGAACCCTGTGGAGGCATCATAACACCTGCATTATGGATGATAATATCCAACCTGTCTTCCTTTTTCAAAAACTCCTCTACTGCTGGCTTGATAGAGGTAAGATCACTCAAATCAACCTGAACAAATCCAATTTCTCTGTTCTTAACACTATATTCCTTTTGCACTTCCAACTTGAGATCATCTATAGCATTGAGGGTCTTTTCCTTGTTTCTTGAAAAGATATAGATTCTTGCCTTGGTTGAGCCAGCCAATGACTTGACCGTTTCATAACCAAGACCTGTGTTACCTCCAGTAACAATGACCACTTTTCCCTCCAATGATGGATATCGATCCTCCTTGAATGTTGGCTTACTTGGCCACATTCCATGAGCCAATTGTCTCCAATCGGAAAGACTATTTCTAGGAATATCTGGATATGACATAATTTAAACTTATAAAACCGTCAAAGTGTGTGATTTCTGCTTTTCTCTCAAAGAAGAAGACTAAAAAGGTGTAAAAAAGTTAGAAGGAAGTCTGCCGATATTCCTTTTATATATCATATGCCAACTTTGAGTTTTGTGTAATGAAACTTGGCATTTTTTTCTATCCGTTTTCCGTTGTTGTGGATGTTGTTGTTGTTGTGAGGGGGTGTTGTTAGTCATATGAAAGACCCCACCTTCCCCCTATTGCCGTGCATTTATGGGCAACACCGTGGATAAGGATATCTTTGTGATGCTTTAAAAACAGTATATTGTAAAGTAATTCATAAGCGAGAGGATATTCAACAAAGCTCATTTAGATGGGGATGAATGTAGTTTGCTTATGAGTGTGGCTTTTCATTTGCACCTGCGCAAAATCACTAGTACATCCTTTCATGTGTGGTGTAAGTAATAACAGATATAGACATAAAGCATGATTCTCTAAGGTTGGCACTTCAAGTGTTGACGTTATTAGAAAGCACTTCATTTTGAGTAAATTGTGCAGCTTACAAAGAAAAGGAAAACCTTCGTTTTGCAGATGCATTGCATCGAGTTTGTGCTACTTTGATATCTCAAGATCTTTAAAGACATCATACAAAGCAAGCTGCTCCAGACTATTGCAGTTGTTCTTGTTTACGAAATATTGGAAATAATACGCGGCTATCTCAAAAAATAATACTCTATTATCTTGTTAAGCAATGTGTGTCTCTCGTTTAAGCTCCTCATGTATACAGACAGTCTCTTCTTACCCAAACAAAGATGTATATCTAATCTCCATTTGTTATCTGTGTTTCTATGAAGGATTGTTGTTGGCTGTGAAACTTCTGTTGTTTCTTCTGCTTATCCAATTCTTACGTAATAAACACGTCTCTCAAACAAACACCAAAACATTTTTTTGTTTTTATTTCAACCACAGGAAGACACCACTGTGTACGTTGAAAGGAAAGACTAAGTTCACCACACTACAAAGTAACGATGGTGCAAGCTCGCAGATCATTAACAATGTCGTCCACCATGGACATGAGTAGCGCTAGCAGTGGTAGTTTACGCTTTGACAAGAGAATCATTAGCACTATTAAACTGAATATAAGCAACAAAGAGTTAATCACCAGACTAATGGAATTACACGAAGAATTGTCCAATTTGGACGATGCAGACGTTGACTTATCCTCACTCAAGCTGGTGACTAAGGATCTAGTTGACAAGAGATTGTTAAATCACCCTAGTATTGGAGTGCAAGCGTTTGCTTGTTGTTGCATATCCGATATACTTAGACTTCATGCACCCAATGCTCCCTATCAGGATGAACAATTGTCTTTGGTTTTTGAATCGTTCTTTAAGCAATTTTCGAGACTTGCAACCACTGGTAAAACGGAAAGACCACAATACTACCTGCAATACGTATATTTATTGAAAAGATTGGCCGAAACAAAATCCATCATTTTGATTCTCGATCTCCATGAATCACAGAAGTTGATGAAATTGTTATTTGATGCCTTTTACAACATTGGTACAAAGCAGAATTTTCCTCGAGAGTTGGAGACTTTGGTAACTGATATTTTATCAGAAGTAATCTCCGAGTCAGAAGCAGTTCCACTAGATATCATCAAGATGGTGTTGAATAAATTTGAAACACATGGATCGAATAACCAATTGCTTCTGGAAAATATAACTACACCTGAATTTAACTTTTCCTTGGCTGTGTGTGAAAACAATGTCGACAGAATGTCAAGATTGGTGGCTCAGTACTTTTCCGAAATCCTTTACACAAATTCAAGCAAGTTGGAAACTGATCTTGAGAATGAACCTGAATTCCAAAAGAGAAGTGAAAATGAGTTCTTAAAGGCTTTGGAAGCCTTGAAAAAGATTCATCATTTATCGGTGCAGCTTTGGACATACGTCCCATCTATAATGTCATCAGTCATTTGTTTGATTGATGACGAATTGAATGCAAGTGATGAAAGAGTCCGCGCCTTGGCCACAAAGACCATGGGCCAAATATTAGGGACCAGAACATACAGTTCAACGATTCCATTGCATAAAGTGAACTTTTTTGTAGTACACCGGTCAATTTGGCTCAATTGGTTAAAGAAAACCAATGATGTTTCACATTACGTTCGTACCCTCTGGGTGAGTCTCATTCCAAGCATTTTCACAAATAATCAATTCCTTACCAATGATGTCTGTCATGTACTTGCAGACGAATTTAAAAAGTGCATGGTGGATACGGATCACAGAGTCAGAGATGCAGCATGTGTTGCACTTAGCAAGATACCATATGATACATTCATAACTAAAGTGGTTAACAAGGAAATTTTGCAAACGTTATCCCAATTGATTAGAGAAAAGCACAAGCATATCAGATCCACCTCAATTCAAGTTTTGAGTTCCATATATCACAGTCATGCTCAACACAGTGTGGGCAATGATCAAGTCCAATTAGATCAGGATCTCAACAATTTGATCAAAGAAATCCCGAATCAAATACTATCTTTGATCTACATCAACGACAAAAATATTACTGCTCTAGTCGATGAGTGTTTATTTGAAAAGTTGATTCCCATTTCTGAGCCTGATACAGAGAAGCGAGTTGAGAAATTGGTTAGCTTTTACTCCGTCTTGAATGAAAAGAGTAAGGAAGCCTTTATTGCAGTTGTTAGAAGACAAGGCCAGATTGCAAATGTGATTGAAAACTTTTTAGAAATTGCTGATGAGTGCAACAAAGCAAACTCATTGGACAAGGAAAATAACCCTCCAACGGCAGATGCACTCAAGTCGAGCTTGGCCAAATTGGAAAAGATTTTGAATTGGCTATGTGTTTCATTCCCTGACGACTGCAATACCTACTCTTGTTTGGAAAGGCTTTTCAAACTTAATAGAGCTAGATTTTATCATTTGATCAGGACTTGTATCTCGTCAGAGTCTGATTTAAGCACAATAAACAGAGCATTCAAAGAGTTGTTGAGTAAGCTTGCCGACCCCAAGAATTTAAAACTAGAAGATAGGGCCGGTGTTGCACCAGCAGATATGGTTTACAACTCAAAGTTGTTGATATTGAGAGGATCTCCTTTATTATTTAACAGATCCAATGTTGAACAGCTTATTTCATATTCAAAACTGTCACAGCTTGGGTTCAAGGCACCGGCCAATGAGTTGCTTGAACAGATGTCAGTCATTGCGCCGGAAGTATTTAAATTCCATGTTAGATCCTTAGTCGAGTTGTGCATGGACAAAGATGAAACAGACAAATCTGCACCACTCAAGACAGTATACCACTTTATTAAGAAATTCCCCGACTCATACCCCAGAGAGATTTTATTTACTGAACTGTTGATGAAATTAGCAGCCGAGGGATCACCAGAGGAGGCAAGATATGCCATAAAAGTGCTTAGTTTTAGTGACCAAAAGGAAATTTGTTTCAACGACACTGTCAGCAAAGTCTACCCATTGAATATTGATGGTACCAACTTTGGTGCTCACTTGAGCAGCATAGCAGAACTTTTCTTGGTTGATAAGTTTTCCATCAACGATAAGGAATTGGAAATTACAGAATACGTGATAAAATATGTGCTACTTGAAAATGCACCATCTGATGTTCAACAAACTTACAAGCCTTTGGCTATCCGCTATTTTGTCAATTCATTAAAAAGCTACATGGATGATGCAGAGACAGCACGGGAAAAAGCTGCTCCCGTTTTAAAATTGTTGATATCAGTAATTGGAAACGAGGGGGAGATTGTTAATAAAACGAACGAAACGTGGCCAACATCAGAACCTTACAAGACAAAACTAAGGTTGACAGCGGGTGAGTATTTGCTAAAGTTGGCAAAGATTCCAGTTTATAATGAAGTGATTTCTTCCTCAACAATGAGGAAGCTATGCTTTCTTTTAAACGATAAGGAGCTATCGGTTAGATCACAATTTTCAAAAAAATTGAGACACTATCTTGGTTCAGAATCGATATCAGAAAAGTATATCGCATTGGTCTTTTTCACAGCTGTTGAGCAAGACATTACTTTGAAAAATGAAAACACATTGTGGATAAAATCGATGTTTAAAAGATCAGAGTTGAACAAAAGTTTGAAGTTTGAGAAATCTTTGGTTAGGTTGATTCACAACATTACCCACCATGAACAATTACTTGCGTTAGTTAATAATGGAAATGGAGAAGAAAGTTCAGTGAGTGATGACGACGAGCGGATGCTACAGGTGTACTCGTTAGCGGCTCGTTTTCTCATCTACTATGTGCAATTAATAGCCAAGGCGGAAAATATAGCTTTGCTCTACTACTTGGCCAGTAGAGTCAAACAACATCGAGATGCTACGATCCCAAGCGAGCAATACGAGATGTTGAATAAGTCACAAGAGGTGCTCAATCTATACCGAATTGCCGAGTTGGCGCAATTAGTATTGAAAACCTACAGTGACTATAAAATCTGGCCCATTCAAACTTGGACGGAGAAATTTAGACTTCCTCAGGATATTTATGCTCCCATGGGTAGTGCAGCTGAAGCTCAATCTGTTGTATCTCAAGTTTTTATCCATGATGGTATACAAGGTAAATTGGTGAATTTGATTAAAAAGGAGATTACCGATTCAAAAAGAAAACAGAATGATAATCCAGCTGCAACGAGTGTTCCTAAGCGCTCAAAGCCAACACCACGTGTCTCTAAAGGTAAAAAGACAAAGAAAAGGGAGCCAAGAGTTGAGCAACGAAGCAATGACGCAGCCGAACCCACAAGAAGGAGCAGTAGAGTCAAAAACAAAGTTGTTTACAAAGATCAAGTATCTTCTGAAGAAGAACTGGATTCAGATATGGAATCAGAAAGCGACTACGAGTAATTTCTAAATAGGTTTATAATCTATATGGTACTACCTTTCCATTTGTTTTAATCCTTGTATCATACCCTTGTTATTCCACTCTTCACCCAAGAGCCTCAACCTTGCAGCAGCAGGGAATCTCCTACTAGCAACAGCGTCAACAAATGCACCGACCATGGCATACATTAGCTTCTTGCTTTGATTACCATATACATTTGCAAATTCACCACCAGTTGCTTCCCACCAATTGGCCAATAATTCAAAATGAGTATTTCTAATCAAATTCAAATCGGTATTCAAGGTCCTTGCCACAAACTGCCACGACGATGTATGTGAATATATACCAATTTGGGCATTTGAGTGATGAGTCATGACCGACCAAACGGTACATATCCCACCTACACGTTCATCGTACTTGACATCATCTTCCCATTTGTTATCCTGATTACGCTTCCATCCCATTCTTTTCCTACCTTCTTCGGAATCAATGTTGCACGTGTAGCCAAGTATATAAGGACATTTCTTGATGAATCTTGCCGTGAGAAAGTATTCAAATTCGGGAAACTTTTCAAGTAAAAAATAAGCCAAGGCTGCTAAAGGTCTTGCAGCAAATGGCCGTACAATAACTTCAGTTTCGGCTTGATCGATAATCGCTTTTGCAATGAAGTTGAGGATCCATTTATATACGAGTTGATTTGATTGCGTTGGAAGAACAAGATTGTATACTTCCATGCTCACGGTATTAGTATGTGACATTGAGTTAGATAATTGGCCAAATTTGGGGTTGATTTTACGTTTATATTGATTGACTTGTTTTTTCAAGTCTCTATTAGCATCCAACGGAGCAACAATTTGCATTTTGATATCTTGTATGTCTTGTTTATACTTTAGGAACTGCTTCTCTATTGATTTAAAGTTGGTCGTTGCTTGTTCTTGCTCCTGCTTGAGTTGCTCAGTTCGCTGCTTTTCTGCTTCTGCTTCTTTTCGATCTTTCTCAACTTGCTCGGCTTTCAAACGAGCAGCCTCTTCGCGCTTGAGTTGTTCTTCTTTCTCTCTCTTCTCTTCCATTTCTCTTTGTTTACGTTCGGCTTCTATTCTCTCCTGCTCTGCTTTCCGACGTGCCTCTTCTTTTCGTCGGCGTTCTTCTTCTTCTCTTTGTAAGCGTTCTTGCTCCAACCGCCTCCTTCTTGCCTCTTCCTCTAGTCTTTGCTTTTCTGCCTCCTCTGCCAACCTAACCCTAGTTTTCTCGTCCTCGATGACCTTCTCTACCTGTTGGCTTTGAAGCTGTAGTAGTTGGTCAAAGTTTTCGCTTAATGCTTGAATGCTCGATTCATATTGATCTTGTATGCGCTCGATCGAGGCTGTACTATGAGTTTGTTGCCTTGAGATTTCACGAGCTTTCTGTTTCATCCATTCGTTGGTTTTCTCCGTTATGAGCTTATACATCTCATTCACATCATCTCGACTAGGCGGTTTGGCAGGTCTTGGTACAATAGGTTCAATTGTGGCATCACGCACTGGATATTTAGCTAAAACTTGTGTCGAGCTAGACAAATCTGGGTAATCCAACTCATCAGGCAATGAAAATCTCATTTAGTCGTAATTAGGCTTCAATTGTGTAATGTCCAGCAAACTGCTGAGTTTTCAATATCCAAAGACAGTTCGCAAAAAAAAGACAAAAAAAAAACAATTAAGTTCACAGAGAAACCAAAAGTTCTTGAAAATTTTTACTTCACGACCCATATACAACCAAACACGTCAAATGAACAAGACATTTATACGTCAACTCTCTCAGACCAGCATACGATCCAGACCGGGATATTCTACGGTAAACCCAGTCCATCATTTGGTCAAGGTTGAAAAATCAAAATTGAAGCCTGAGTTGCAAAACTTGTTGTTACCAGCAGACGATATCAGATCCGTCAAGTTCAAACCTACGGAAATATGCCAGGATAGGGTTGCCGACTATTACAACAACACATTACAGTCTGACTTGCTTCTACACTTTTATGATCACGATGCCGAAGTTATTGAAGGAAACAAGAGAAGATCATGGGGCACTGACTCGCCATACAAAGTCTATCGTTCATCTAGAAACCCACGTGGTGGTACAAGGTCTACCAAGAACAAGTACCCTATAAACAGCAAAAACGTACCTGAAATCACCAGTGTGGTTGTGCATTCCTATAATAAGTATGCTTTGGAACATCCGTGGTTAAACATCTCAACCAGACTCCAATTATCTGTCATTACCAATGTCAAGGCTAAGCAGATATTCAACAAATCGAATATTCTACCATGGAAAGTGAGAGTAGGTAAGGCATGTGGAGGCAAAGTTGAGCTTTTTGATAGAGATATGAACCAATTTATAAGTACATTGACCGAATTGGTATTACCTAGAATCAGAGCTTTCAAGGGCATAAGGTTCAGTTCGGGTGATAAGAATGGGAATATCAGTTTCGGTCTTACTGCAGAAGACGTTCAATTGTTTCCCGAGTTGGAAAACTTTCAAGAATTGTTTCCAAATTTGAATGGGATTGATATCACATTCAGAACAACGGCACAAACTGATTCACAAGCAAAGACATTATTAAGCGCTTATGGGTTCCCATTCTCCAAGGAGTAAAGGGTTTTATTTTGTTGTATATACGTCCTTGTAAATATAAAATAGACTGGGCAAAAAATTGAATTGTAGGAAACGAGCGAAAAGAGAATCTGCAACTAGAAACCACATTCATTTGATCTGATACCAACTATAAGTTGAATGCGCAATTATGACCAACAATCACTCCCAAAGTAACATTGGATATAAAGCATCCAGTAATAACAGCCTGAAAAGTGGCAGCAGCTCACACAGATGGATAAATCAGCTACGAACATTACCATCAAACCCACAATCAAAGGACTTTCTTAAACTTGAATATCTTGAGGTGAATTTGAACAATTCTCGAAAATTGATCACAAATTTGAATTCATTAAGTAAAGAAACTAATGAGTATATCAAGAACGTTGATCTACAAGTAAATGGAAACTTGATCCAACTAAATCAAGTGGATAAAGAACTAGCCTGGTTGGAGTGAAGTGAAAATAGTTGACTTTGGTTGGTTGTATTTACAATCGTCTGAAAATAAGATGAAGGTGTTTTCGATATACAACCTGTAGGACAGATGTTGACTCTCAAATGGACAAGAACATTCACAACTAGAGCTCGGCGGCATCAAAGTTACGTGATTGCCAAAGAGATAATTTACCAGTGCTTTATGCTTTGAAGAAATCATGCCCAGAATAAAAAAGTCGCTTACGTTAATGGTTTACATACAAGTTACATTCCTTAATATAAATCGACGAGTGATAAAGCGTCCACAATGACGTTATGACATTGAAATCTAAACATAAGGATTAGTTTCCTCATCAAGCCATGCCCAAAGTTTGTCACCGATTTTATCATCGAGTAGATCTTTTCTTGGTTTACCAGGAACCCCAAATGACACACTATAATCACCATCCTTCACGTCTGGAGAGAATGCAGCATATAACTCGGTATAAGCACCAAGACGTTGCGGATGTAAAATGTACTTGTACGCAAACTTCTCCATTGGGCTTGCGTATTTTTGCAAACCAGTGCTCAAGTAACCCGGACAAATTGAACTGCTAATGACGTTGGGGTAATCATGTTTTCTGGACCATGTACGGGCTTCAATCAATAGAGCAGCTTTGCTTTGTCCATAGATTTGCTTTTTAACGTTGGTGGTTAGGGAATCTGGAACTTTTTCGAAATTGATATCATCCCAGAAAATACCGCCTTTTGGGGCATACATATGATAAGTTGATGATAACCACACGATTCTGGACAAGCCCTTGGGATTCTTTTCTGAAGTCTTGATGAAAATAGGATCTAATAAACGTTGCAACAAGTGGTGGCCCAATACATTGGTTCCAAGCTGTAATTCATATCCCTGTTTAGTCTTTGAACCTCGAGGTGGCATCATGACACCGGCATTGTTGATGATAATATCCAACCTGTTTTCCTTTTTCAAAAACTCCTCTACTGCTGGCTTGATAGAGGTAAGATCACTCAAATCAACTTGAATAAACCCAATTTCTCTGTTTTTAACTTTGTACTCGTCTGCAACTTCTTTCTTAAGTTGCTCAATCCCCTCAAGTGTCTTTTCCTTGTTTCTTGAAAAGATATAGATTTTTGCCTTTGTTGAGCCCGCCAACGATTTGACAGTTTGGTATCCAAGACCAGCATTTCCTCCGGTAACGATAACAACTTTTCCCTCCAATGATGGGTATTGGTCCTCCTTGAACTTTGGTTTACCGGGCCAAAGGCCGTGGAGTATTTGTCCCCAGTCGCTGATGCTAAAAATGGGAGTTTTAGGACGAGTCATTGCTTTGCTTTCAGGGGATGGTTGTGGTTATCCTCGTTGTCAAGATAAAGAAGTGAATGCGAAAACACATTTCTGGTGTTATATATTCAAGATTATCACAGCCGCTTACTATATTGCCGGATCTTCTACCATTAACTCCGCTTTCTCAATAGAAAATAAAAACTTTATTATAGTTCCATTTTTTGACGGCAGCGGATAACATTTTAGTTGCCTAATCTAGCCGAAACGTTTGACATCCCTTTTTAAGAGGGTCGACCGAGGCTCCAGCTCAATTGAGGTGAATATCTCCTCCTATACGCTTCAAGGAATGTTATCTAAGATACTACCAATAGACACTTATTTCAACCGCTGTTTCATCCAACAAAGACAGTGACAACATATAGGTGTGTGTTTTCAATATTGTAACTTACGATTCCATGAGTTCTAACCCATTCAAAAACAATAAAGTACATATAACGTAATTGCATATATCAACAGAAAAATTCTATAAAATCTCTACCATACAATGTAAAAAAGCCATGAGATCATTTGTTCTAACGTGCCTGTTCATTCTTTCCATGGTGGGCTGTATCACTACCAGATTCATCCTCATCCTCATCCTCGTCATCAGTTATAACAAAATCCTGCAACGCAATTGAGTTCCGATTCAATTCGTTGTATTTTCCATTGCGTTCGATATCATTCTGAGCAGGTGCTTTGGTATCTGCGTTGTCTGGCTTGAACTTCAAAATAATAGCGGCATTGCCAATAATAAGCGCAATACCACAGAATGATAGAACTCCTGGAAGATGGTGCCATATGGTCAAGTCCCAAATGATGGCAAAAACCATACCTGAATATGCCATCAAGGATGCTCTAGATGCTTTCACTCTTTGAACACCAGCGGTAAGACAAAATTGCATAAAGAAGCCAGAAAACCCAATGACTGCAAACAAAAACCACTGGTAACCATTCAGTGGCAATACGAATGACAATGATGGCACCACGAGTATACCAATAAAAGTAACTATACAGCAAGTTAATGAAAAATAACTAACTGATAATAAAGGATGGGCATTCATACCGATCTTTCTCAAAACAATGTACACACTAGAAGCACCACAGACACCTATTAGTCCTACTGCGGTTGCCAATATTCTCTTTTCCGAAGAAGAACTTTCAACAGATTCATCAGTGGTTTCTTTTCCCAGCTCAGCACCAAAGATGAATGAAGGTTTAGCAATTAAAATAACACCTCCCAAAGATAATAGTGAACAAACACTTTCCAAAATTGAATATTTTTCCTTCAAAATAACAAACGCTAAAAATGCAGTCACCATTGGAACGAGAAATGTGATGGCAACAGCATCTGATAGGCTTAGGTACTGCAATGAAAAGTACATTCCAAAAACTCCAAAAAAGCCCACAACACCTCTCATGACTAACAAAACACGAAGTTTCTTTGGCCCAAAAGGCGCCTCCTCGACCGATTTTGTTACAAACATGTATACCAAGCAGCAAATATAGGTTATAAACATTCTAACAAACAAGATCTGCACTGGGTGTATTGGCTTGTTGAAATCCTTATCAGTGACTAATAATTTGCATGTTGTGACCATTATACTGTTTAAAAACTGTGAAAGTAGCAATAGCGATATCCCCACATTTGGAGAAATAACGTTGTTGTAAAAGTTAACAACTCTATGTCCCTGTCTTTGTAAAAATCCCGATTGATTTGAATTCCACTCGGTTGATGCCCATTCATGGTCATCGATTCTTAGTGAGTCTATTGAACTTGTATTTCTTCCATGGGTGTCACCAGTGATGGGCACCGCTAATGGAGTATCGTTATCAGCGCCACCATCCTCTGTTTGTATGACTAATGGGTCTTGAACCAAAGGTTGGTTGTTCAAGATAGTATTACTGAAATTGTGTTTTGTTGCATCTTCAGACATCAAGGCTAGTATAGTTTTATCTGGTTGGTTCTCGTCTAATCTTCTGTCGTAGTGGCCTAATAGCAAAGATACCTTTGATCAGATGTAATGATGGTGTATATGATGGGTATTAGGAAAAATTTTTGAAAAGGAAAAGGAATGGGTGGATGTGTGGCTTTGATCGGACATATACATATATATATATATTATTTTTAATATTTTTTTTTGAAGTGCAAAAAGGGTTAATTAATTTGATTTTGCTATTGTATAATATATAATGTTTATATAATGTAATGCATATGTGTGGCATTAAAAAAAAACAAAGGAAAAAAAGAAATGTCATTAAATTCCGAGCGCTTAAATTAACAAAGTGTTGGCTTAAATGGGGGATGATATGGGGGGAGAAGAAGAAGAAGAAGAAGAAGGGTGGGGTGGGGTGGAGTGGAGTCGTAAGAAAGAGAATAAAGGGGGAGAGCGCAAAGCAAATGCCGTTTAAGAAGTGGATACACTGATTACTAAGCACAAATCAATATGTCTAGACATATTGACCGGAAAAGCAGACGGCACACTATAAAGGCTGAGTCGAAGTTTAATGTTTTTTCTTATTTTCTTCTTTTACGAAATGAGAAAAGTATTTTATCACCGGCTGGAAACTTAAATATGAAAGTTTTCCTTGCCTGGCTGTATTGATCCTTTGACAGGATGTTACTACTGAAAATCTTTAAGATCAGTGCCTTTCTTTCTCCATGTATGTATAGAAGATTCCACAGGGGCCGGAGTGTTGCTTTTGTCTGACGTCTCTCATTTATTCTTGGCATTAATTTTGCAATAAAACGAGAGATAAGATAAGGAAGAGCACATATTTTTAAGAAAGACACTTGCATTTCTGATGTTTATTTCAGAACAACTAGGGAAGCTACTTTCGACTTTGATCGAACTAACCTGATCTGTAACTGTGTAACTTTTGGTATTCTATAGACGGCTTCGGACTTTTAATGCATGTGAGGCGCGGAATTTTTCATTCAGCCAAATCCGTGGATAACGGAGCTGATTCTAATTAAAAATACAACAAAAATAAAGCGACAACACCTTTCAAACCCTTAGTGAGTAGACGACCATATTGCAACGTATGTTCCAAGGTTCAATCGGAGGATACGGTTGCACAATTTAAGTCTAGTGGCTACGATGAGAAGGTGAAGTTTAATGATCCTGAAGAGAAGAGGTTCGATATAATTCGGGCTTAATATATCTCCTTCAGTAACCTCATAACTGATTCAATTTTGTTAATTTACTAGATTTTTCACAAGTACTGGCAGGTATACCTTCAGTTGTACTGTACACTAAACTACACTTATGTTTGTAGATTCCCTATTGCAATGACTTCTAGCCGAAGAATTCTCTAAAGGAACCGAATTAAAAAACTCTCTCTTCCAACGGAATCTATTTGATTTGAGAAAATACCCATTTTATGCTACAAAATTTACAGGTAAAAGATCTGAATCACCATCTTAATTTAGCAGAACCGCTTTGTATTGAGAAGTGAAAAGAATATAAATTGGAAAGGTGGCCGAGTTGGTCTAAGGCGCTAGACTCAAGAATTAAGTTTCTTACAGCTTAACAAGTTGTGATTTCTAGTATCGTAAGATGCGCGAGTTCGAATCTCGTCCTTTTCATTATTTTTTTATTTTTGTTTTTGTTTTGCAATTTGAGTTCTAGATTTCTCGTACTGCTTTGTCATTCAGTATTGCAAATAACTCTTTTAGGCGCAGAGTGATGCAGTACTGTTTTTTTTTATCCACTTAAAGTCTCATTACCGACCATGAAACCAATTGTTAAGGTAATTCGCATTGTTGTTTGAACTACTTAACTGCTTTCCATGTATTCCATTGTAATATATCTATTAATTATTTACTTAAAAATCTAGTAGCTGACATTACAAGTAAATTAGCAACTTTTCTCTATCACTCACAATATGGTGCAACACCCTTTACTCAGCTTCGACCCTTGAAGTAAACTCAATCTGGTTGCAAATTCAAATATATCATCAACACCTTCACCCGTCAATGCCGAACTCTCCAAATACGTCTTAGCACCAATTATGCGGGCCATTTCTTCACCCATATCAGCTTGAACAAAACGTCGACGATCTTTTGTATTTATTCGCAAATCCTTCTTCAACCCACATAGTATATATGGCGTCTTGGGACAATATTTCTTCACTTCTTGTACCCATTTTGATCGTACATTCTCTAATGAATTGGGCGTATCTAAGGCAAAAGCGATTAGAACGACATGTGAATTATTGTAAGAAAGCGGTCGTAATCTTTCATATTCTTCTTGTCCAGCAGTATCCCATAGTGCTAGCTGTACTGCTTTTCCATCTATTCGGCAATCAGTCACGTAGTTCTCAAACACAGTTGGGATGTACTCAGTGGGAAACTCACCAAGGGTGAATACGTATAGTAGTGATGTCTTGCCACAAGCACCATCGCCAACAATGACTAGTTTTCGTCTTGCTACTTCTTCTACTACTTGAGGCATTGTCTTCTTATAATAGTTTGTAGGGCTTGCTCTTGTTTGTCTTGTGGAAGTGTATTATTGATTACAATGTGTATGCTCAATGATCCATGTTATTAAATGGAAGCGATATTGGATGTCGTTATGCTCCTGTTTCCCTGATCCTAGAGTAGTTGCTTTCAATTCCTCCTGTCTCAGTCAATCTACTTACCCACTCTCATGAAAATATAAGTCTTCTTGCGAGATGCCAAGTACTAACTTCTGCGGATACTTCAATTTTTGAGCAACCGTAACCTGACTTTAGAACACAATCTCATCATTTTCTATTTTTATTTTTATTTTTATTTTTTTTTGCATTTCCTCATTCGGTGATCGGCTAGTTTCTCAAGCCCAAAATTCATCAACTTTAGTCGGGCCGCATTGAAACATTCTAACTAAAAACTAAAAAAGGGCGTACAAAACAATTCATGGGTACTACTGCGCCTTTTCTACAAGTTCCCAAAGCATAGTCATTGACGAGACTAATATTATATTTGCGGATCAAAAGTAAAAACTAAAAATAAAAGAAGACTTCAAAAGCTATAGATCAAGAATGGGTCCCTTCATACGTTATTCCAAAGCCCATCAACAAACCCACTGGTTGACGTCTTTGGGTTCCCCTCACCTCTTAAGTTCATCAAGGGTGGATCAGTTAAAAACCCCGGCAGCGAACTCTTGCGGATACCTGGAGGAGGGAACCCTCCTGGACCAAAACTAGTTTGCAGATGGAATACCGGTTGTTGGGGATACGACAGCTGCGATTGTGGCTGCACAAAACTAGAGGCACCAGGAGTGAAGAATTGAGCACCAGGCGAAGTTCTAGTAAAACTGTGTGAACCAACTTTAATATGGGTAATTGTACCGAATGGATCGTATTTCTTCTCAAATTGATAGATAGTACCGGATTGACAGCAACTTAAAAATTGATTCATTGTCAACTGCGGTCTGTTTGTGACACTCTTTACCTCTTCAAACAATTTCATCACTGGAGCGACTCCAAATTCTAACTGGTTCAATTTCGCCATGGCTTGGAAACAATTGAATGCTGTTGATTGAATTAGCTCCACCTCAGGTTGGCCATGAGGATTGACTGCATTAGGTACAACACCGTTGGAGCTCACGTTGTTCTGATCAACATCCATGGGGAAAAGAGCATTACTCTTCAAGCCAGGATTTAAAAATGGGTTTTCGCTAGGTGTTGACCCAGCTGGCATGTTCCAAATCTGGCTACTTCTCGTTCCGCCCGTATTAACAGCATTAGGATTAGTATTCCAAGATTTAACATTTGTAGCAGGGGCTAGGGGCTCAGTAGGCTCGGAAGATGTGCCAAACGGGTCAAAGCGAGGAGCTGGCTGCCCTTGCTGATGAATGTTTGTCGCACTCACATTGGGTGTGATTGAGGAAGTCGTGTCGCCTAAAAATGTTGGCACCGATGGATTATTCAACCCTATCTTGTCCGTCCAAGGAGACATTGGATTTGAAGTGGTAGCAGAAGCAGACACAGTAGCTGCAGCAGTAGTAGGGAAGGTATTAGCAAGCGAGGAGTTCACCGCAGAAGCACTACTCATTAAGTTGGTAGGGGCTGCTTGTGGGGACAACACTGAAGCTTGGTTCAAGTACTGACTATGAGCAAAATCACTGGCAAATGGAGGTTGCTGAGGAATTGTTGCGACATTTGGGTTCAACTGACCTAATTTGAGTGCGACTGCAGAACCTCTGCTGGAAAGGGAACCCGATCTAGGTTGTTGAAAGGGTTGGTTAATTGAGCTACTGCCAGAAGTAGGGTTATTGAAAAACTTCAGCTTCTCCTCTTCAATTCGTTTAGCCAAATCTTGTTCAAAATAAGCATCGGCTGAATTCAATGACCTTTTAGAGTTCACCTCATCTTTTTCTCCTTCAGCCAATTGTTTCTCACGAGCAACTCTTATTCTCTCTGCTTCTTGGTCTCGTTGCTTCTTCAACCTCTCCTTTCGTTGATTCTCTTCCTCCTTCTGTTTTCTTTCCTGTTCTGCCTTTTTACGCCGCTCTTCTTTCAATTTCTTGGCTTCTTCTTCTTTTCTCTGCTGAGCTTCTACCTTTTTTCTGTGTTCTTCCTCCTTTTTCTTGGCTTCCTCAGCTTTTCTCTTCTTCTCTTCTTCTCTCTTCAATTTGGCCTCTTCCTTTTTTCGCTTCTGTTCCAATCTCTGTTTTTCCTGCTGCGCTTTCACTTCCTCTTCGGCCCTTTTAGCCTCCTCCTCCTTCTTTCTCTTCTCTTCCTCTTTAGCCAATTGCAACAACCTCTTCTTTTCCTTTGCTTTTTCCTTTTGCTTCAATTTCTTTGCTTCTCGTTCCTTCTTGGCCTTTTCCTCAGCTTCCAACTCTTCAATTAGCTTTTGAGTATTATCCTTCGACACCTTCTCCTTGTAGGCACTCTTCAAACGCTCTTGAAACAATTTGATAACTTGAATTAAAAATAAACGACGAATCTCTTGCATTTTTTCTTCTTCGGAAATTTCAGACTCGGTATCACTGACGTCTTTTCCCTCTCCATCTTCAAGATCGTCTTCTTTTTCTTCTTCTTCTTCTTCTTCTTCTTCTTCTTCATATTCATATTCATAGTCGTACTCATCGTCATCTTCTACCTCACCATCGTGATGATGATGGTGGTGATGAGGGTGGTGATGATGTGAACAATATAAATGTTCCTTCCCTTCGTCATCTTCATCCACCCAGCGAGACTGCTGTTCTTCAGGAGGCACACTAGATCGACCTTCCCCTTTAAACGAGGGCATTTCCTTCAATACATCCTCGCGTGCTGACCTCGACTCCGTTAGAGATTCCATCATGTTTATAAACGAGTTGCCATCATTATTCAACAAGTCTTCGGCAAAAGTTGAAAGTCCTTGTCCAAAATGTTCAGTAAATTGCTTTGCCATATACTTTTCTGCCTCTTCAGGACTACTAGCTTTCATATTGGCAATATTGGAAAAGAACTTGCCCATGTTTTGAACATATTTTGCTCCCCTCTCGGCACGCTTCCCATCATGATTGTGCAAATCCCTAACTATTTCTTTTAGTGAACCAGCCTTTTCCAACATGGTTAAATGAGCGGCGTTTTGAGGATCCAAATGGGCCGTCTCTTTCATTTTTTGCAAGTCCAAGCCTTCCAATGCTTGAAATAGTTTAGGGTCAAGCAACCTATCAAATAACTGTGTCTGTGAAGAATTTGAGGTTTGGATTGATGCACTAATTTGCACATTTGGATGCGACCTTACCGTCGAATGATTCTGCTGGCTTGCTTGAGGTTGCGGGGAGCTTCGTGATTGTTGGTGCTGTTCAGAGTGGTCCTGTGCAGATGCCATTCGCAATTTATTCATCTGTGACTTAATCTCGTCAATATGAGCCTCACTTTCGGCAACCTGATTCTTTGCCATTTCCAAATTCTCATTATGTAGCTGCTTCCTCTTTTGCAACTTCCTCTCTTCTTCTAGCATATGGAAACCACCAAACAACAACCCTGGTAAAGCATTCAAATCATTTATATCTCTAACTTCGTGGATAAAGTCAATGATGTCATCAAAATGGTTGTCGTAGATACTCTCCAACTCCTCTTCAATGAGATTGTTTCTTCTGCCACAGTATTTGCAGGTACAATTGTTCTGGCCCGACGAATTGTTACCACTATTTGAACTATTTGAATTCAGCTGCAGCTGCAGTAGTTGCTGCAAATGTTGCCTCGTCTCATTTTTGAACATCTTCATAATAGACTCTTTATCTATCTTGACTAATTCTAGCTTTTGAGGCTCAGCTAACGATTCCCAAAACTGCTTCAACTTCTCTTGTTCTTCAATCGATGCACTATCCCATAAGCTATTGTGCGCATCCTGGCCGCTCCGTCTCGTAGAGTGCATTGTTCCAGCCATATGTGGCTGGTTATGCAATGGTTCATTATGGCTATGTGGATGCAGATGAGGGTGATGAGACAGAACCTTGTCAAGCTTTTCGGATCCATTCTCGCTGCGAGAAGGGGCTGATCCCTCGCTTGATCCTTCTGAATCTTCGTCATCTAAACTTTCAACAATGACATCACCATTTGGAGCTTGCTTAATCACCCTTGATGTAGGATAGTCGTCCTCTGGTTTATTCAAATGAGCATGTGATGTGGAAAGTCTCGTTGTCTTCTTCCCCTTCCCTTTCTTCTTCTTCTTGTTTGCTTTATTAGCAAGTGGATTGGAATCATGCGTGCTCTCGCGTACCTGATGAGCACTTTTGGGTAATGAATTTGTTGCATTACCAGTCTGCAGATTCGAAGATTTGTTACCGTTTGGAATATTATTACTGGTAGTTGACGTGTTTCCATTGGATACTTCAAAGTGGACGTTATCCCCTACTTTGAACTTGGTATTGGAATTACTGCTATCTATTCGACTTGACATTATACCTGCAAAAGACAAAAATAAGCTGTGATTTGCACACGTTCTTGATAAAGTCGATCTTTTTAGTATGAAATACTTTTTTACTATTGAATACTATTTTTGGCTGTCTTTGTTCTTTTCAGTCTCTCTCACTCTTTCTCACCTCACTTACAGTCTCACTCACTCACTCACTCAATTTTTTATTAAATTTTTTTTTCTTCTTCTCTTAATACACACTATATGCAGTACATATTGGATTCTTTACCAGAAAATGTTAAAAAGGTCGTGTCAATTTACCATATCCCCTTACCTTACTGGTACTGCTGCCATGAAGCTACACAATTGGGCAAAAGATACGTATAAATTTGACTATTGTTGGTGACCTACTATCACCACCGAAACAAAATGTACAACAAGCAAAGAGTAGAAAACAGAAGGAAAACAATGCAACTTTCAATTCAACCAAGACTTTATAATAGTGGTCGTGTATGAATGTTCAATTATCATACATATAAACAAGGCTGCAAAAGAAACTTAATTGAGATATATATCGTCTAACAGATAAACTGAAATAAGACCTCAAGTATCAATGGGACCCATCAAAACATATCCACCAGCTCAATTATTCAACTTTGAGTCTAACTTGCTTTTCAATTCCTTATTTTCCGTAATAACCAACTCAACCATATCGGTCAATTTATCAATCTTTTTGTACAAGTCATAGAATTGCCAATTTAAACCAACTTTCGTTGCTTCCTGAACGGGCTTGGCTACAGCTTCGATCTTTTTTTCAAATTCACTCAAATTAATCATGAATTCGCTATCCCGTCTTTCGCCTTCTCTTTGTGCTCTTAGTTCATCATTTATCTCAGAAGTACGAGCTCTAACCCCATCCAATGGCGTATTATTTTGTTGAGAAGAATCAACGCCATCATTTGCATCACCAAATCCATCAGTCAAGTCCCACTCTGTATCATGTTCATTGGCATCATCAGGGAGATGCTTGTATCGGTTGTATGTGATTCTCCTTGCTGCTGTCAACTCGACAGTGGTGATGTAAAGCAACAACGGCGAATACATAATAAGCATTACATAATAGTTTAAAATCTTGAACGTCCTCTTTGATGTGATCCAACTTATTGGGGTTATTGCAATTTCGATTAAATTCAAAGGAGGCACATAAATGTTTGTATCAGGGGCTCTAACGTATCTTAATGTCTTTTGTGCGAGTAAAGCCAAATATTCATCGGTTGCGTTGTCGACTATTGCTGCATAAGCCGTGGAGTATAATGCAATCAAGATATTCATCAATATGACACTAAGCAAGAACGTGTAGACGTAGTAAAGAATCGACGCATATGGTGGCACCAACTTCCCCATCTCATCAAAAGATGAACTACCAATGACGCCTTTGAATAATGATCGCAAAATCTTCATGGTGGCATCACTTTCCCCATCTGAGGCATCCAATCCGATAAATCCTTGCAAGAAACCGATAATAACGACACCCAACAAGACAAAGAACAAGATCGACTCTTTCATCATTACTTTCAATACAACCATCATAGCACCAACGAACTTTTCAGCATCCAAAAACAATAATAGTCTTGACCACATAAAGGGCGCTGCACAACTCAATAATCGATAAGATATTTCGTCGTATCTATTTTGCAAATCACCATGTGCATTGAAACTGGCAAATCTAAAGCCTATAGCAATGGTGATAATTGCATACATCGAATCGTTGAAAGCGTTCCAAAATCCCAAATAGTTCCATCCAACGTGGTAAAACTTGACACATTCATCTAAAACAGATCCCAATGTGCACAAGTAAAAGATTACTTCAAAGCCGTTCAAGCTGGAAAACTCCTTGGAGTTGGTATTCAATATGATTGAATAAAGCGCCAAGTAAACAAAACTAAAAAACACTTCCAATATATTCTGGTACAATGGAGTCTTGAGCCTGGCCGGGTCAAAATGGGTTCTAATTGAGTGCGATGCAACTCCGTTGTACAAGACATACGAATGGGGATCTGATGACGATTGAACAATCCAACCTCTCCATAGCCACTTGATACACCTTTGAAATCCAGACGAACTTATAACTATAGTAGAGTGCATGTCTACCGCCAATTCTAAAGCACTAATTGGGTCGGCGTCTTTTCCATTCAAGCAAATTGTATACCGGTGACACAACATACTCAAGAATAGATATTTATCATCCTTCTCGCGTTCAATAATAATGGCTGCCAAAGTCTGGGCACTTACAGCACGCAATGAATACAACTCATTATCACTCAATTCAAACTCACTTTGTTGCCAATACCAATCGCACACTTTTAAGAGACAAAATACCAAACACGCACGATATTTGCGAGACGATGTACCTTCTTTCCCATCACCCTTACCTCCGGCAGCAGTATAACACAACTCAATAACATTCTCATTGAGGATTGAAGAATCTGGTCTGAGGATCTCTTCTTTGTCAAAAAGAATTGGGACCACTTTGTCAATTAACAACTTCAAGTTGTTACAAATTCTCCATGTTTGTCTTGAGTTGGGACAATCTAATTCGAGTCCATAAATGGATCCTTCGTTATCTGATTGGGGTGCAGGTAGCAACGGATTATTATCCTCAAGATCAAACATGCTGTGTTGGAAGAGGATTGGAAGTTAGTTGTTATTCAGATAGCAATGACTGGATGAAATTTCAAAATAAAAAATAAAATAAAATAAAAGTCATTGCCGACGCAAATTCAAGGAATGTTGATAGATTGATAATGATTGACAATTCGTATTGATTACTTAAGGAAGACATGTTCAAGCCACTAATGATACATTTACAGGAGAGCACATACTGTTCCATGATATTATGTTTCTGCTATAAACGCTTTCAATAGCCTTTGCTTTAATGTCGTAAATGTCAGGTACAGTCACACGGCACCGATTCTGCGACAGAAGTTTTCAAGTTATCCATAGCCTCAAACTTCTCTTCATAGTTCACTGCATTCTTCTGTCATCACACACATTGAACAACTACTACCTATCCCATACAAGTACATGATTATACTCACTGTTCCAGATTCCGTTACATAATCTCAATAGCTTTTACTAGCGTCGATCGATATTTAAAATGTTTAAAGAACCACACACTACCATTGACACAAGTGTCAATGAAATACCACAGAGTCCATCGCAACAGCACAGTTTAAGTGACTCAGATAGCGAGCTATCTCTCACAGAATACAAGGATCACTTGATTGAGCAACATCAGTCGCAAATGCCCCAATTCCATCAAAACAGCATGTCAATATCAACGTTTAGCCTGCCGTTGTCCGATGGAATAGAGGATAACAAACATCGCAGCAATGGGTTGTCACTCAATGGCGAGGAGACTGAGGTGAAGCATCCTAGTAATAGCCCTGGAAATAGTGGCTCAGGTTCTACCTCCGCTGACAACTTGTCGAGCGTCAAAGGTTCAGTACGAAGGAAGCCACCGCCAGATATACTTGTTAGTCCGCAATCTGAAAATGAGATGACTCAAGACGAAAGCAACACATCTCCTATAAATGAGGCAGAAGTAGACTCCCATCTATCACAGCTGGGTCATAAAAGAAAGACAAATACGTTTAAGCGATTTTCAGCAGCCAATTTCAACAATTTTGGCAAAGTGATGGACTCATTGAAGCGATCAGCCAGTATGAGGACATTCAAAACACCTGAAAAGGAAAGTCATATTTATAAAACGACACCAGACACTGACCCTGTACTGCAAACACCGATATTTGAGTCTCCACAGTCAAATACTTCGACAGCATCAACTATTGAACCCATTGCAAGTGAAATGCCCTTTTGGAAATACCATATTCTTCGCTTTGGAAAAGACTTGTATCTAACAACTAATCCAGGTACAAAGTACATTCATTGTCGTAATGGGCCTAGTTTTTATGTCGAGGTAGTGATTGAATCTGGCCATAGTCAGGGTAGTAAGCCAGATGAGGATTACTCGTTAATTTTCAAAGATCCAAACAATCTTTCTCAAGATCCTAGACAGTGTATGGTAATATCAAAGAAGCATGATCAGCAAAAAGGGTATTTCAATATAAGAACCCCCAAGAACACTTACCTCGCTGCTGATGGTACAGTGGAAAAGTATGAAGACTTGACTATGTTTAAAACAATGTCGTTCCCGCTGTCAATTGGAGGCAGGTACTTTCCTTTTGATGGCTTACGAGAAGGTACGGCAAAGTATTTCACTAATTACGAAATCAAGGATTTGCTAAACGTGTCCTGGAATGTCGGATCAATACCCAGAGTCAGGGTCAGTCGAATGAATCAAATGAGAGAAAAAATCAAAGGTGCAAATAAGGATGCCAGTGGAAGGAACGAAGAGGAAGAACTTAAGCTTGTGGGTAAGCGAAACATCTATTTCCATCAAAATTACACCAACAGTAAATGTGAAGGACAATACTCCCCACTGGAAAAAATTTACGACTCGTCAACTGATTTCCCTCTGGTTTTGAGTATGTTTCGTCCCAATGAACATAAAATAACAAAGAGACTAGTCCAGTCGATGAAGCAACAACAACAGCAAAAGAATCGTCATATACCAAGTGTCCATCTGGCACTGGATGATTTTGAATCTAATCAGAACAACACCAAGACTTTTTATAATGGAAGTGATGGGCTTTATTACCTGCGTGATACTCGTGATGATAATCCCGATGAAAATAAACTGGGATGGTTAACTATATATGAGAATGCTGAGGTATTTGGAGGAACAGATAATAGAGGAATGTTTGATGTTGTTCTTGGAATGACATTGGCTGTGGGGTTTGATACATATTTGAAGGACAATATGGCTGCAAAAAGATAAACTCGGTGATTATTTGTTGCGTCACATATTTTTTTTTTGTTGCTCCCCTCATTCTTTTTATTGTTTTTGTTATGTTTTTTTGATAGGGAAATGGGTGGACCATGCTTTGGACTTGGCTCTTCATCTTGTCCTATGTATTTGCACTACCTGATCAGTCACAATCATGTATCAGCAACATCAACATCCCCTTCACTGGATACAAGGTTGAATATCAACTAAATGTGAAATATTGGCAAGGAACATATCACTTATTATACTGTAATGATAACAAATTGATTTATAATTTGAATTTGAATGAAACTATTCCTTGGACGCTGCCGGTAGTATTTCACAAGAGTAGCTTAGGTGAAGGTGATTTCATACTAGCTCGCAGGAAAACATTTGCGTTGCGGAGTTTCCCCATTTTTCTCCCAAATACATTAGTGGGGTCTTTATACTATGGGGATTCCTTAACTAAGATTCAACTTTATAACAATACCGAATCACAGTTCAAGTCGGTACCTTTGATTGCCGCGAACATTTTGAGAAACTGGTGTGAAGTGAGTTATAAATTGGATATAATTTACCATGTACCAGTATTGACTACACCAGGCATCGATTCAAAGTATTATAATTTTGGGTTCTTTGATTCGTCACAGAAGCAGAATGATTGGGATAAGTATATATTAATGCTGGAGAATTATGATTATAAGCATGACCCACGTATCTTGTTGAGAAAAAGTATGGATGGTCTTTTAAGTCAGGTTGATAAATTTATTAATGGGCATAGAGTGTTGAAGACAAGGATTTACCGTACAAAGACAGCCCAAAATGCTACCAAAATCTGGTGGAAGTTGATCATATTGTCAAAAGTTGTTAGTGAGGAGATATTTAACAAGTTGGTGGTTAAACTAGACAAGCTCCTACAGTGATGAAGAAAACAAGGAGTTTTGAAAATAAAGATGCAGACATTTCAACGAGACATCCCCATGGCCTAGCGGTATTAATAGACCTTTTGAGCAAACCAAATGAAACACCTTTCAACTATTTCTACAAAACACGCAAATATTGGATAGTTTGTGGTACTTTTGTGGACTATATTGGACGTTACAGCGTGGATGTTTCCTACTATCTGCAGGTTAATGCAAGGACTTTCTTCAAGAAAACGCGATGCCCAATCTAGGATCTCAAGTTTTTAATTGAATAGATACATAACTGAACAGTGAATATTTTCTTTCCCAGCTCTCAGAAATTGGTCGAAGATTACCTTATCCTCTTCTCATTCTCCCCTTTTTTCATCATAATGAGGTTTAAATCTGGAAGAGCTGTTCTAGTTTTTTGTTTTCTTTTTTTTTTTTTTTTGTGTCATTACACATTCTCTCCGGTAGACTTTACCAAAATGGAAACTTACCGCTTTGATTTCTTCGATAAAATACCCACAATTCAACAACAGGAAATATTTCTTGAATAAAACTACTAAAGCTCATTACAACATACTTTGGTACTTCTTTTGCTATTTCATACAAATCACTCATCTTTATCTAGTAAACTATTTCCAAAAGAGAAAACAAATCAAATCAACACCATGGGTAAGCCAAAAGTATTAGTCATTGGATCGGGTGGGGTAGGTACCATCTCCGCAGTATCATTAAAACACAACAATCAATCTGAAGTCACATTAGTTGTTCGTTCTGATTACAATTTGATCAATAATCAAGGATACTCGATCAACTCATGCACTTATGGGAAACTAACCAATTGGCAACCCCATCATCTTGCCAAATCGGTTGAGGATGCTGTTGAGAGATTTGGACCGTTTGACTACGTGCTATTGACGACGAAAAACATTCCTGATGGGCCAGTTACGTGTGAAGATATCATTGCACCGGCAATCAAGTCTGGTGATGAAGTCATTATATTATTGCAAAATGGAATTAGTATTGAAAAGACTATGTTGGAAAGATTCCCTGGCCATTTGATTCTTAGTGGTGTTTCATTGATTGCTAGTACTTATCAACAAGGTCATGTTGAGAATAAAGGTCCTGATATTGTGTTTCTTGGGGATTTTGTTAAACCTAGTAAACATCCTTTGTCGAAGGAGAAGATTGATGAATTTATTTCCATTTATCATAATCCCGATTTCAACCAAATCACAATTGATGAAGATGTCCAAAAGACAAGATGGGAGAAGTTGATTTATAACTCAACGTTTAATACCATAACCGCATTGGTCAATTTAGATGCCACGAGGTTGCAAATCAACAATGCCAACGAAGAATTATTACGTCCAGCAATGATGGAAGTTATTGCCATTGCCAAGAGTGTTGGCGTTGAATGTGACACTTCTCGAGTGGAATTGATGATTCACATAGGCGATGGTTTATTTTACGCTCCGTCGATGTGTGTCGATATGAGAAAGAAACAATTGATGGAATTGGAAATCATTTTGGGTAATCCAATTAGAATTGCAAAGGAGAACGGTGTATCAACTCCAGTTTTATCAGTTATTTATTCATTATTGAAGATGGTTCAATTTAGATTGAAGGAAGAACGCAAGATGTTTGTTATTAATGAAGATGACTTCCAGGGCAACTCTGATAAATATCCCGCAGTTTTTGAAGAGAAATATACTCATTGAATTTTGAATATAAAAATAGGTCCTTTGTTAATTATAAAATAGAAATAAATAGATTCTAAAATAAATATATATGCTCAGCACATTCAACACCAGGTAAATACTGGCGGATTTGAATTTTCCTTAACTAACCGTTCAATAACCACTCTTGCGCCCTTTTCAGAAGGAGGAGGAGCATCAACTGCTAAATTATTCATGCGAGAGTATCCAGATTCGTATGGCACGGGAGCACCGTTTTCTGTTTGTTGACTAGGGGATATTACATGCAGATTAGGTGACAATACCTGCAGACTGCTTGGACTTTCATGGAGCAGAGCATTCAATGGACCAAGTAACGGTGTATACTCATTTTCATCATCATGCACATCCTCAGATGGCGCTTCACTCAACTGAGATAAATACCTTTGGCCATTCCTAACATCAGATTCATAACAAGACGAATGCATCAAGGGAAAGCTGCGTCTCCTTGTTCTTAATGGGCTCCTTGGCATATACATCAAATCATCAAACACCAATAAATTTTGGCACCTTGTCAATTCTAAAGGACCAGCAAAATCCAATTTCAAAGTTTCAACCACATTGAATGCTTGTCCTTTCAACACTGCCAATTGTTTATTCCATAACCGTTCTTTGAAATCATTGTCCTTCATGAAAACATGCTTCAACTTGACTACAGTGGTTTCCCACCAGAGGTTTGAAGTTAGTAACGGTAAATAATGCTGTCTAGTTTTCTTGCTGAATGGTTGGCCAATTAAAGATAATGGTAGAAAAAGCCACCCAAATGGGAATGATCGCCATTCGTTAGGATGCTTCCAAGGAAAAGCCAAACCAGAATCTATTGCTCCAATTTTTAGAATTGGACGCATGATTTTGGTATCGGCCGTTCGGTCTAGTTCATGCCACTCCAACTTGATCATCCAATTATCCAGTCCTCTATCGGTATTTCTCATCAAGTAATCTAGTATAACCATTTTTTCTAACTCTTCTTGAAACTGCCTCATTGAGTCACGACTCCACTGAAATTTGTAATCATCAGCAGTAGCACCACCACAATCATCAATGCAGACTTCTACATCCAGTGATTTCGGTAAAAGGTATACATCTGTTGGAATGGGGTACAGTTTGAAAAATAAGTCGGCATTGACATACCCGTGTAGAAACATTTGAAACGATCCTATTTTGTACAGTAGTTTATTTACGTCATTTGACTTGTCCCAAAATTTATAATAAAAGGTGGGTGCCCGTAACTGAATCACTGCAGTAAAAGGTACAACATATGACTGTAATTGGCGATCTAAAACACAAGCAGCTGCTTCACTGATATACCCGAGGTTGGGAATAAGACAACTACGCCCAAAACAACAAGGGAAAAATGTTCTATGAAGCCACTTGGTCCATTTCGGCAGCAACGGACCGTATGGCTCTTCACTTTTGGGTTTAAATACACCAACTTTTTCATATAGTGATGTACCTGGTTCAATTTGACTAAATACAAAGTAACTACCCGATGATCCGCTGATGATGCGTTCAGGGTACACATGATCTTTTTCAATGACATTCTTGACTTGTTCAATCAAGATGTCAAAATCAAGTTCAGTCATGTAATTTTCAGAAAACGGCAGATCTTGTGAATCGCCATGTGAGAACCTTTGGTGGTTGTAAATGTCTTGCTGGGTGTTTAATTGGCTCATGCCTTCGAGAGGCTGGAATATTGAGTATTCAATGACGTACTCAGCAGGCTCACTCGGTTTATGTCTCAGTCTTTTCTGAATCTTTGTAATTGGGGAATATGCCCATTTAGCAGCGGGCAATAGTATCGAATTCTTGAACTTGATAAAATTGTTATTAGTGAGTAAGTTTTCATTCAAGCTATTACGCCTTGTGTGTTGTATAGCAGTAGTGTTTGGGTCAGGCTGTGACGGAAGAAACCGAGGTGTATTTGGAGCTGATCGTGAGCGCGAGTACACCTGCCTTGGAAGTGATATATTGTTGTTGTTATTGTTGTCATTGTGAGCATGATGCAGTAGCGATTCTGGTGATCCTGAATCATGATCATCGGCCTCTAATGGAGGAGTCCTGGGGTCACCCTTGTTGGATGCCTTATTAACAATGGTGAATCTGGTTTTCTCAACTTTAGGAGCATTCGGTTTGGCAGCACTGTCATTGTGGATATCAGACATGTTCTTAGCTTCCTCAACTAATCATAATTGAACCACCTCAAGGGATCGTTTTACTATTGTAGCACTTTTGGTCGAACTTGAAAAGTAAAAAAAGGGGACACACCCAGTACTTTAAGATTGCTTGTTCCAAAAGGGGAAACGCAAATGATCGGCTGCTACCAATTACTGTCAACCATAGTATTCAACTCTCTATGTCTTCTTCTACAGATTCAATTTGAAACAACGGAATAAAAACTTTGGTATTAAACTATAAGAAGGTAAAAAATGAAGAAGTATACGATTAACTAAAAATGTTAATCATAAATACTGTGAAATAAATTAAGGCAACGTGTGTGGGGATAATAAACAAACAGCCCTCATGTAGAAAACGTTTTGTTACGAAAAAAATAGCTTCTAAGATATATGTTTTGTTTGAAGATGTTGTTGATGCTGGGGTGACGAAGGGATATGTATGGTTTGTTTTCTCTTCCCTTCTCTTAGTCTTCTTCAATTCGCAGAATTTAAAAAGCAAATACACCAACGAGTAATACAGCTTGTGTCAAGAATAATGCTTTCATAGTGAATCCATTTCCTGCAACACCAGATGCGTCATTAGAGCTGTTTGATGAACGAGAGACAGCACTGTTGGTAGGTGAAACACTGACAACACTAGTCTTTACCTCTTGTTTTTTTTCCGAAGATTTTGAAGTTGCAGTGGCACTAGCAGAAACAACATCTTTTTTAGCACTTGATGAAGATGAAGCACTTGTTGTAGCTTGTGTGGCGGAGCTGCTGCTTGAGCTTCCAAAGATATAATTGTTTAATCTAGCGAATAAACCAGTGGCTTCGATATCTCCAAGAAGGGATTGCAAAGCTCCCGAGTATTTACCCAAAGTACCAGAAAGAGCACTTGAGTCACCACTCAATAAAGATCCAACGGTACTCACGATGGCTGATGGATCACCCAAAACTTGGTCGACAAGACCAGTGATATTTACCCCCTCGGTGTTGATGTTGATAGTACCAGAGGATAACAATGAACTGGCAAGAGCTCCAGTCATGTTAACATAAGCATCATCAGACAAGAATCTCTTGACAAAGTAGACTGCAAAACCAGTGTCGTTCAAAGCATTCAAAACGTCAGTAGCGATATTTCCAACAATATTTGATCCCAAAATAGTTCCAGCGGCGTTTTCAACAAAACTACCCAAACTTCCGCTATATTCGCTTGAGCTTACCGAATTTGAACTTGAAGATGTAGTTGATTCAACAGCACGTGATGATGATCTAGTTGAAGATGCTGCAGATGAGGCGGAAGACGAAGAAGCAGACGATGATGAAGAAACAGCTCTAGAAGATGATGAAGAAGCAGCTCTAGAAGATGATGAAGTTGATCTTTGGGAACTTGAAGACTGAGTTTGTGCAACTTGAGAGTTTAAGCTCAAGATTGATGACAAGACATTGGGGTCAATTGAGAATGAAAATGAAGATGGGTTTGCAGTGTTAGTTGTTCTAGCAGCAGTAGTAGTAGCTTGGTTTGTAGTTGAAGACCCAGAAACCTCATCTTCAGCTGCTCTAAGCAAACTCAGCCAAACACTAAGATCGTTGCCATCAGCCCTTTTCAACAATAAATCTCTCTTTTGGAAAACCGAGTTGAAAATGTACAACAAGGGGTCTCTTAATGACCAACCAACTCTATTGACAATGTCAGCCAATTTTGGTCTAAAGTCGGCATCCAACAAAAGACCATCAGCCAAAGAGGTAACCAATCCACTATCCATAACTGCATTAAAAATAGCAGATACGTTAATAAATTGAGTCAATGAAGATAAAGAACTATCACCATTCAAAATATCAGCAACATCAATGGTAATGTTTGTACCGCCAAGTAAAGACGAGGTCAAGTTGGTCAAGTATTCAATTCTATCCGGATGATCAGCAATAGCGTCCAACAAGTCCCAAATAACACCTGATGAATTGATGGTTTCAAGAACAGAATTTATTGTGCTTTGATAGCTATCATCATTGTCGGCTCTTTTAAAAAGAAAATCTTCATCACTGAACATATCTATTAAATCATAGTATAAGCTAGCTTCATTGGCATCCCATTTGGATTCAATAAGCAGGTCAAATTCTTCTCTAATGCTTAGTTCTGAACCTTGAGGAATTGGCGATGTGGGTATACAGTGAACCAATGATGAGAATAGACAGAATCCTGTAATGAAAATGTTTGTTAGATACATTGTAGTGTAATTGTGTAGGTGAAGGAGTATTGTCCAATTCTAGTCAACCTTTTATGTTTCTTTCTTTGCAATCTGAGCTGTATCTATCCTTGAACAACTGTTGCACGATATGAGATCTGGTGAATTATAAATTCTTTATTGTGATTGAGTTTCGGAATCGAAAGTAACAGACTAATGGTTAAAAACGAATGAAGTAAACCAGAAAGTGAAAGGAAAAGAAAAGTGGTTTAAAAGGTTTTGAAATTTAAAAGGTTAACAACTTTAAAGAAGAAAAGAAAATATTGGTCCTGTGACTTCTTTTAAAGAAGTTATAAGCAGGAACAGTTTGCTGACTCGAAAGGGAGAAGGAAGGAGGTGGAGGCAGTAGTGGTTTGTGAATCTTTCAATGAAAAACAATGTTTATAGCCAAAGTTAGTAATGAAGGTAGAGATGAAAGCTTTCTTGGTCACCTTCAATTCTATTGTTTTTAATGTAGGGGGCTTATTGTAAGAAATCGTTTAGCAATTTTATAACCAATTTAGGTTATAAGATTGATGTTTTCTTGTGTGTTGGTAGATGTTCTTTGAATCATTTTTAGGCAACATTGGGGTATGTATTGATTTGACTTACCTAATTAGGAAAGAGTTGTGATATTGTGTATACATTATTGCGTATATGCAGGATTGACGTATTTTCTAAATATAAATTTTTTTCATTTTGCAACCGAATTTAATTGTCACGTGAGTTTGGAAGACCTTTAGAGTTCAAAGACCCTTGAAATAGAAAAAGAAATGAAGTTGTTATTATTATGCTATTAAGATAATATTATATCTAAAATGAATGGGTAGGTAAAAGGTTTTTGGTGGAGAGATCTTGAAATGATGTTAGTGTATGTATGTTAAAACGTAGCTGATGAGCAGATTTGACAGTGTGAGGCTCTCTCAAGAAAAAAAAAATAGAAATTAAAATTAAAAATTATAATTTTTTTTTTTCAAAAAAATAAAAGATTTCCTAAATAGGAAATACACCTGCTACCAAATGATCTACATTAAGTAATTACCTTGGGTCATTGTCCTTTTGCTTTACATAGAAGGCTAATGAAGTACATTCAAAAAGCATGACTACCATAGATCCTTTCTATGAAGTTGTGATAGATGACAATGTGAGGTTAGAACTGAGGCCGTCATCGATATATATGTATCGATAGAATGCTTTTTTTGCATCTAGCGTCTATATTATTTTCGTCATCACAAGCGTTGAACTAAGCCATTCAACGTTGTGTGTTTATAAGTGTACAAGGGTGTGTAAAGTGTAGAGACGGATAAAGGATAAATATACACACACATTTTCCTACAGTTAATCAAACGTTTGTTCACTCATATGTCCTATATATCCCTCAACCAATTATTTCTTGTTTGTCTTTTTTTGTGTTTTCGTTTGAAGCTGAAGTTGAAGTTGAAGTTGAATGTGAGTTGAGTTAAAGTAAAGTTGACTTACTACCCTATTAATTAATCAAGTTTGTGTAACATTTATTTAATTTCTTTTTTTGGGGTTAAGGTTAACATTAACAAAACAACAATAAACATTTTCAGCGTCTAATTTTACTGTTTTAGTTAATTAAAAATTACTTCTTTAACAAAAGACACACAAGACAAACGAAACCGAAAGAGGAGTAAAATGGTCTTCTTTCTATCTCCATATATCTTTCTTACAATAAATACTTTTCATCAACACTTTGTTAACTCATTTTGCCCTCCTGAAAATATTTTTTAAAATCAAAAATCAAAAAAAACGCAAAAAAAAAAACAAAAAGAAAAGAATTTATTTTTTTAATTTCCTTTTGATCTTTTATTTGAATATACCCACTTCAACATCACTTTTCTTTCTTTTCCTTTTCTTTGGTCACCACCACCTCATACATATAACATTCATCGTTTGCCCCTTTTTTTTTTCTTTATTTATCTTCCATTCGTTGATTCATTTCATCTTCTTTGCAAGGATACCATTTAAGAATCAAGAAACTAGTGACTAAGTCCCACAACAAGAGAGCAAAAAGAACATCTGGATACCCCCACCCTTCTTAAAGCCTCATTTTCATTTTTAATTATATTTTTGGGAAATATAAACATTACAGCAACGATCTAATAACTACAGCTACGACAATTTTTTGATTCACCATGAAGTTGTCAGCACTTATACCTACAACATTACTATTCTGTTCCCAAATAGCCCACAGTTTTGACTTCCTGCAATATGATGACGTTCTTGACGAAATATCGTCATTAGAGGATTTCTCAGGTGCAAACTCGGCAGCAATAAATAAAAGAGACGAAGTTAATAATATAACAGTTAACCAAGCAGCTGTCGAACAATACACTCATCTTTTCCAAACGATTGAGAAGTCGGGCTTGCTTCCTGACTTGCTTGAGGAAATCTCGAATAACCAAACTCAAATTGACAATTTAGTCGGTTATCTTGAGTTGATCTTATCGGGTGATCTTAGCAGTGAAAACACCACCGTGAGTCTCAATGGTATAAGTATCAATCTCAACTTGACGCAAATCATGGATGTTGTTCTAAAATCAGGTATTATTCCATCAACTTATGATCAGTTGTTGGGAAACAAGGATAATAATAAGAAATTGGCCGATTTTGCTGGTGGTGCATTATCATCGCCCAACAATGTATGGATTGGTTGGTTATTGACTGATTTAGGTCAGGGCCATGCTTTGACTGTGCCTTTCCTTGCTGATTTGATCTTAAACACTACTTCAAAGGCCAATACTAATACAACAAAACAATCCGATATTAACGTTAAGGAAACGCCTCCATTGGCTGAAGATATTGGATTGGATAGTTCAGGGGTTAATAATGATGGAACTACTAAAGATGCCATTGTTATCAACTTGAATCAACAAGAAGAAAGAAGAAGGAAAAGACAAGAAGAGTACTTGTCAAGACGTGCTGCTGATGTTACTGACAATTATTCTGGTTCTTTGAGTCAGTTTTTGAACAATGCCATCAACACAGTGATTAATTCCCAAATTGTGTCATCTAGCATTAATGACATCGTAGTGGCTTTAAACCAATCCGGCATCATTACCCCCATTGTTTTAGAAATAATTGAAAATGACAACTTGAGCAAATTGATCAACCCCATTGTCAAGACCTTGTATGAGAATGGAGCATTCAATAGTTTGCCGTTGAACTATTACTTTATTTATGCCAAGGAGAGAAATATCTTGAGTGATGGTTTGCAATTTATGTTGACTGATAGTCATTATTCACCTCCACTTGCTAGATTGTTGAAGAGAATGGAAGATATTGGAACGTTCCAATACTTGCAAGATAATATGTATGGATGGCACAAGAGGAGCTAGAGTGTTACATACCACACTATACCACACCATACCATACCATCCCCCAAAAATAGGACCGCCAAACTCAATGCAATATCTCTAATGGAAGAGTCCAGAGAGGAGAAAAAAGCAGATTTTACTGTCTCTCTATCCATTTACTTCTTTACTACGTTATAATTCAAACTATTTTTCTTTTTTTATATCTATATCTAGCTTTACATAGTTTACTGTGTCTTTTTTTAATCCTAAATTAGAGATTACTTTAATAATTCTTTAGCTGACTCTAGTGCAGAAGAAAAGATGTAGTTTGTAATTCTCTATTTTTTTACAGATGTTATAGTGAGCTTTGCATGGGGAAATGGAAATTTAGTGACGGATACTTCTCTTTGCCTCCAATTAAATTCATTTACCAGAAATGACTAGGGCAGGACTAGACATTGTGATCAAATATCAAACTTCCAAGAATAAAACAACACTTTTTTCTTGTATTTTTATAAGTCAGTTTGCAGCCATGAAAACGGATAATTCTCTTTTCTTGCAATATCCGCGCACACAAACTACGATCAGAAAGAAACTATGACACGGGTGGAACAAAGGAGCAGCTAATGTGGAGTTCATCACCATAAATGAAGGAACATTGTTAAACTGACCAGCAAACCACCACACTAGCTTTCTCTTGGAAGACAGTCAAAGGAATCAAAACGTTTGTTACTGCGTTTCCTTTTCTGGATATAATTTTCTCTAACCGAAATGGGCGAGACGGAGACTATGTATGGGCACGGATTTATGTTTCTGTAGCCCCAGGTCTTATTATGTTCCATTCAAAGCATGCTTCATCTAAGAAAGAAAAGAATAGTTCATATTGTCTAATACAATTGTCTATTATAAAGGTTCTTCTATCTATACCTTCTCTCCAATTGCCTCTTCCTCATTTAGCACAAGAGCACAAGGTTCCATATCGAACACCATGTACGCTTCTCTTGTTTCTGTTATACTTCCAATTCTTCAAATTCTCCATCTCCGGTATAGTTGTAAAACTCCTTGGCTTGAATAACTTTCAATTCGAAATATTTCATCGTTTCACCATCGTTTATTTTGCCAACAATCTCATCTTCTGTATCGCCAGTCACTTCAGCATCTTTGGCATCTCTTGCATCATCAATGAGTAGTGCTTCCATGCCTCCTCCGTTTCTAGTACCGTTGCTATTAGTATTGCTATTGTTTCTGGACAACGCGGCTTTTGCTTGTTGCATACCCAACTTATGCGTGAGTTTCAATGTCTTTGCCATGATCGTCAACACTTGGTTAACTGATTTAGACAACCGTTTCAAATTGGTAGACTCATCCTGATTCGCTACAAATTTATCCAACAACAACGCCGAGAACAAATCACCGACTCCTGTGAAATACGACTTAATAGTGGGGATTTTAAACATTCTCATATCATGTCGTTGGTTAAAATTTGTGCTTTGCTGCGGGGAAGATTTTGTCGATATGACACAGTAGATGAAATCTTGTTGTTGTCCAGTTATAACTTGTGACTCAACTGATGTGATTGCAATATAGGGTATATGACATTGTTCATGCAATTGGGTGATTGCCCTTGTCAATGAGTCGCGGTTGGTGATTTTTTGATCCATGAGTAGTTCCAATTCAAATTGGTTGGGGGTTATTATATCGACAAGTTGGCTATGGATTAGCTTGCGGTATTCGTCAACACACGATTGGTCAACGTACATGTAATTGTCATCACCCATTACTGGATCCATCAAGTAAATCAATGGTGAGGGGATGGAGGAGCTTGTGGTGGTTGTCGTTGTATCTAGTGAGTTTCCATTTGTGGGGTGCCCATTCACCTGCATGGTGTTTCGCTCGTCATTATCCTGTTTCATTGCAACGATATATTCCCTGATACACAGGATCAACTCAGAATTAGGCACGTACCCTGTAATAACAGCATTATATCCAATATGCAACCGCTTAATCAACTGATCCAAGATTGACGCCAACTCTTCGCGGCCAAGAACTTGACCTCGAAATTGTCCGTAGCCCGTGTGATTGGAAAAATGGACGGTGTTGATATTGTCAACTTCCCAGCCCTGCGTTTGCAATGGGAATATGACCGCTCGGCCTCCGACATAGCCGTGGACAACGTGGGATTGAATGGATAGTACTGATTTCATGGGATTTTTAAACAAAGGAAGGAATAATTTGTGGAAAGTGCTTGTTATATTAAAGGAGCGTGGATGTGGTATCTGTGATGGTGTTTGTAGTAGTAATGGGGTAGACAGTGTTGATCCGTTAAGGTTCTATCAGGTATTGTATATGTATGTGACTCACTCCAAGCGCATCTGAAGAATGAACTTTTTCAAACAAAGTCAAGCAAAAAATTTATTTTTTGTCTCACTTTGGCGGGATAATCTCTAAAAACTCCAAACTAGTTAACGCAGTTTAAGCGCATACCCCCAACCACTCCCCATATATGTAACGTAATGCCACAAATTAACAATTTCTAAGAGAAATCGAATGAAGAGGGGTGATTCTAGCTATATCTCTGCAGTATAAGATTACTATAGGATTAGACGTTTGATATTTTTCATAATTTTTGCATCCATTTCCAAACAAAAAGAAAGTAGGAAAGACTCATTTGTCAAATTCTCTTTGTAAGAAGATTTTCTAACAATCTTTGCCATTAGTTCCAATGGCTGTGGAATTAACCTGAAATAAGGGAAATTGGTTCCGGAAAAGGGTATAAACTACTTTTACTACGCATCGAAGCTAAATTGTGCTATGTTCATTTTGGTGAAGAGACTTGTTTTTTGTATGCAAAGGAATCTTAGGGCATAGTCTTTTGAAAGTATTCGAAAATACGCAAGAATAAGTTCATCTCTTTTGCCCTACTTTTTGTATTCAATGAGTTAATTTAAATTAGTTGATGCGTTATACTTATAACTCGTTCGATTTTATCAACAAGGGTTTTCTCTTTTTAAACTTTTGAACTAATTTTTTTACAGAGCCAATCTCACTAAATAGACGAGCTAAATAGTATCATGCGATATCCTGAGAAGGGAAAGAGAAAGGGCCTGTGTAAGATCGTATAGTGGTTTAGGTAGTTTTTTTAGTTGTTTCGACTCATTTGCGTGTAGAGGCGGGTGAATTTATTTTCCAGCGAATGATTGGCATTAATTTCATAAATAGTGCGCAAAAATAAAACAAATTTCATACACGCTACCATATAAATTTCATATTTCGATTCTTTCCCTGTTCTAAAATTTTCTTTTTATGGACATGAAACAATTCGATGTAACATTATCTAATACTACGAGAAAGATATACTTTGATCGCATTGATGAGGAATATAAATTGGCAGTGAAAATGTAACAACAAGTGCTTACCTCCCCCTCTTTCTCTCCTCTTTAACAATATCTGTTTCGAAAGTCAAAATTTTTGTCTCTGGAAAGGAAAATGACTGATAATCCCGTTCCAAACGAGGAAATACTTACAATTGTACAACTGGAGAATAAGAGCAGAGTCAAACCCAATCTCGTAACAAACGAGAAGTAGACTAAACAGACGCGTTTCCTCTTCTTTTGAGATGAACTGATTATAAAGAAGAGAAGGGTATTAGGCCCCGTGGTGCATTGCATTAGCAGGGAAGTAAGGTGTACTACTTGTAAATTGCGCCATCTTCCTAAAAAAAGGGATTTACAATATGATTCTAGACACACACACACAATTTTGTGTTCGTCTCTTATTTTCGTTTCATTGGATTTTTGTGACAGTTGAGTAAAAGGGCGAGGCTAGACTAAGCTAGACAAAACTGGACTGGATTGGACTGGATCGGACTGGAATGGACAAAGAGGTGTTTCCACGAATGGATATGTTCAAAGGAGACAACAAGGTCTCTAGCTCTTCTGCTTCCCTTTTCCAAAACTTTTAGTATGTGCTTGTGCAGTAGTAATATAAACTATCGAAAGTTTAACTTGGTTAGTTTTTAGATTTTGAAACGAGAACTAAAAGAGGTTGGAGAGAATCTTACGATGAAACATATTGAATTAGGCATGTAGCAAATAAATCCACATTCAATACACAAGGATAGATGGATATGGGAATTTATTCCATTTTGGTATAATATTAATAGAAAACAGCATAACAAAAAATAAACGAAATAAAAAAAATAAGATTGTCGTGTAACATCAATTAACCAACAGACCAAACCCTTCTTCTATGGTACGACAATCCCTGTGTAATTCCAGTCCGAATAAAATCATACCTCCCTTAGGATACTACACTTGAAACGAATATAAACAACAAACAAACAAACAAACAAACAAACAAATACAACAACACACACACACTCCCCCTTCAAATAATTGTCCTTTTGTATTATTCGTGGGTGGCAAAACACACACAAAAGTAAAATCACTCTATGCAAAACACAAGAAAAATTCTAAAAATAGTAACAAACTACACGACCTATATATATATATATATACACACATACACATATAAATATAAACATAGGCTATGTTTAAGATTGGTCGTGTGTAATATAACAATAACTATAGCTAAAATATAAAAATATAAAAAAATATAAAAAGAGGACAACAAATCAATTTTTTAAATTTTCACCCACACAATAATCATATATACAATTTTTTTATTCTTTTTTACAACCAAAACTTTGACAATCAAACTATCTTTGGTTGCCACTTTTTAGATACTACTACTATACTACTACCACTGCTGCTAGAAATCTTTGCAATATGGAAGTAGACACTAATACCACAACTACACCACTTGATAATATCACTAATGACGTTTATACTACAGTATCTTCTTCACTAGATACTAATACCACCACCACCAACAACACTATCAACACAGGTTCGTCATCCTCCTCCTCATGTACAACAACCTTACCACCAAGGAAAAGAGCTAAAACTCAAGAAGAAAAAGAGCAACGTAAAATTGAACGTATATTGAGAAATAGAAGAGCAGCCCACGCTTCAAGGGAAAAGAAGAGGAGACATGTCGAATACCTTGAAGTTTATGTGGTTAAATTGGAGGAGAATTTACAAAAGTTGTCTACTGGCTATCAACATTTGTTGGATAAATTGTCACCTCAAGACCAAACCTCTATTGAAGAGTTGGGATTGCAAGATGTTTCTGAATTGAAGAATCAAATCCATCTGAATTTGAGTGGTTCTAGAAGAGGGGGAAGTAGCAACAACAATAGTCGTAAAGGTGATCACGAAGATGATGACGAAGAAGTGGAGGGGGACGATGATGAAGAGAATGAATTGGAAGAATCACGATCACAACACGAGTCTTTGCCTGATGTTGATATAAAAGTGGAGCCACAATTACAACCACAATCACAATCACCACCTTCTAAAAAGAGAAAATACTCGAAGAAGGAGAAACCTACTACCACATCCACCCCTCCATCATCAACTAGAAGTTCATCGTTGACTTCTTCACCTGTCCATATTAAAATTGAAGAAGGAGAAGAACATCAGCAGCAAAAAGAGTTTAAAAACAACAACGAAAACTCACTACAACCACAAGCAATGAATGATAAAACTTTTTACAACTACTTGTCGCCAATCAGTATACATTCATCAGCTAGTTCTCCTATGGACTTCACATTGACTAGTAAATCAGATTTCAATGACTTTGCATTTGGTGAAGTTAAACCAGAGGAGGAGGAGGATACCAAATCACTTGAAAATACCTCACCCAACACTAACCCTCAAATTACATCATCACATGAAGATTACACTCAACCACAATCCCAACAACAGCCACAACCATCATCAGCATCAACAACAGAAGTTAGCACTCAAGATTCAAACTTGTCATTATATGAACTGGGGCAAAATTCAGCAGTAATTTTGTCTATAGAAGAAGAAAAGCAACTACCTCAAAGCACATTGGTGGATATATTGGAAAAGGAAAATAGAATACATCTGGCCGTTGCCGTTTAGAAAGGAAATACTAACACAACCATTTTATGGGAAAAGGATTACAATGCTCTGCTTGTCAGATTGAATCTGCCAATTAGTCATAGTTGGCTCAATTTGTTATGGATGTTCACTTTTGAAGTCACATTTACTTTTATTATGTCCAGGAGATTTGTCAACGGAGAGAAAGAGAGAAGGAAGTATATTAATTTGGAGCAGCGTGTGCCAGGTGGTCAACTGTCTTTAAATTAATATACGTGGAAAAAAGCCTTCTCTCGAGAATCTAGTCTTGACATTTTTATTCCTTTGGATTGTATTTGTGGCGAATGGAAACGGAGAGAGTGGACATCTCTTGAAAGCAAATTTGATGTTCTTCTGATTTACAGCATTGAAGCAACTGATTTTCCTGATAACCAAAATGGGAGTTTTTCCAAATTTGAACTGTAGACGCCATCACGATGTTTTGAAAATTGAAGATGACAATTGTTCTATTCAGTTTATCTTTTTTCCACGTTATACATATGCTTCACTATCGGTCTTTTTTTATAAACCGAACGAGGAAGGCCAGCTTTGCTTTATTTTATTTATATGGTCCGCAGCACCATTTCAGGACTTGTTTGATTTTGAGTTGCAACAACATGAACAGATGGAGATGATTTCACAGGAACAAATGTTTGATGATATGTTGGGAGAGTACTTGAACTTTCAAGAGGTTTGAGGTTTGAGGTTTGAGGTTTGAGGTTTGAGGTTTGAGGTTTGGTTTTTGATTGATTTTTTATTTTAATGGTTTTGTTTTGTTTATTAGCTGGCTGGTTTAGTTTGATTTGGTTCCGATACGAAGGAGTGAGCTGAAAGACCTGTCATTGACTGGATTTTATGGTCTTCTAAGTCGTCTCTCTTTGGAAGAGATTTTAATAATTTTTAATTTGTTTTTTTGAGTTGAAGATATATTGTACATTATGGTGATTATAAAGAAAATTGTAAAAAAAAGAAAAAAAAATAGAAAAAAGCATAAAAAATTCCCCAAAAAAAAAACAAGCTATGTTTTTAAATACAATTGGGAATTTGGCATGTGAATTGATGATTTGGTATTTCAACAGTTGAGAATATCACTTTTATCACAATTTGGTGGAGTACATTAAGAGAGAAGGTTGGTTTGTGTTTTTGAAGTCACAACACACATGCCAGCTATTACCTTTATTGGTTTTCTTTTGCTTCAACTTCATTGATTTATTTTGAACCCTTTGTGTTGACCCAATGTGTGGTGTGTTTTAATTGGCGCCCGTTTTTATCTGGTTTGCGACGATTTACTCATGCACAAATGGAAAACTTGGGGGTGAGAATATAAAAAGAGTGGAGGCTTTTTATAAACCTGAAAGGACTATAGGTATGAAAGAAGCAAGAGGTTTTCATACTTGGTGGTGGACTTTTGACTCCATTGTAGACGTTGAGTTATCATCGTGTTAGTTTAGAAGGTTTTTTATAAAATATTAATGTTACAATATTTCAATTTAGATGTTTTTGTTTCATTGTAGGATTATGTAGTGGTTATTGATCTATGACAGTTTCATTGGATGTCAATAGTGTGTATGCATCAATATACATAGACTTTTATACAAGTTGCAAAATCACCGATAATCAGTTTACCTTGAAATACGTATCCACTGTTCTTCGATGCAGCATCATTAGCTTTATTCTTTTCTCCTTCTTCTTGATCAAACGATGCAAACAATGATTGATCATTGATGTAATCATCATCAGTCTTTTCCTGTTTGATCTTCACTTGTTCCACTCCATCGTCATCATCGTCATCATTTTCTTCAATTTCCTTCTGTTCCTTATCCACATTATCATTATCTCCCCTCTCTATCATCAGTTCATTTTGGTGTCTGCTTTGTTCAGTATTGGTGCTACTAGATCCCACATTTCGACGACGTTGTTGTTGATGATGATGATGATGATGATGATGAATCGGCTGCTTAACCACTAAATTAAACCCACAATCGCGCAAATGCCGCCTCGCTTCATCATAATCGAGTAAGCCCAACTTGTATCGGACTTGGTACAATACGTCAACGGGGATGGTGACTTTGTAATGAGAGTTGATGGTGAATGTAGTAGTCTTGTAATAGTCTTCGATATTTTTGAATTGAAATGCTGCATCATCGTAAACACCTAGATCCTGCTCGTTATTATCCGCCTCCATACTTTCATTGGTTCCAGTTCGCTGATGATGGAATCGGCGGAGATTGTAATAGAGTATATTCTTGATTCGTGGTGATATGGTATCGATTAAAGTCTTGATCTGGTGTTGATTTAATTTGATTTGGTTGATGTTGTGGATCGTTATTGGCGATTTTTCATTGATTGATAACGATGTAGTAGTAGAAGTAGAAGCAGCAATAGTGCTGGACCTAGTGCCAGTTCCAGTATCAAGATTATCTGATTGACAATTCCCTAGTGTTCCTTCACCTAATCCCGTGTTTGACGTTGTTGAATCTAGTGGGATGTTTTTGATGAATATCTTGATTGGAATTGCTACTTCTTTGGCCAAGTTTATAAATGTGATTTGCGGTGGCATTGATTATTTACATGAGAAAATTTCTTGCTTTTGAAAGGAATGGAGGAGGTCCTCACTCAAGAGTGGCAGTGGTGGTGAAGAGTAGTTTTATCTTGCAATAATGCATAGATTATATACGTGTACGCAGATTTAATTGTGGCAAAAAATCAAAAGAAAAAACAAAAACTCCATACAAGTCTACTTCCAATACAACCTCTTCCAACAACAACAACCACAACAACAACAAACACAACAACAACATAATGTCAATTATACTTCGATTCAGATCAAAAGATGGAATGTTTCGTGTAAATACCGAGACTTCATCGTCTTTCCAAACTGTTGTTGACCAATTATTAACCAAGCTCCCCGGCTCCAATAATGTAGATGTCAGTGATATAACTATATCGGATAAGCCCAACAGCAACAACGACACTAGTTCTAAGCTTGGATCATTAGTAGGTAAGCTGGTGGCGGAATTGAATTTGAAAAATGGAGACTTGTTGTATATAAATTATGGTGATGCTTTACCAACGCCATCAGCTTCAGCCCAGGGTGGTTCAGCTCCTATCAATTCAGTAAACACGAGCACAACAACAGCAACAGGAACTACATCAACAAGCATCCCATTGACTAAATCCTCAGCCCATGGTCCGGTAAATGTGAAACAATTACCAGTGGACGATGAACTAGATAAGTTGGATGGAATGATTCAACGACCAATGTCATCAATGTGCCGTCATGGTTCAAAAGGGATGTGTGAATATTGTTCGCCACTTTCTCCTTGGGATGAGCTGTATCGAAAAGAGCATAATATTAAACATATTTCTTATCATGCTTATCTCAACCAACAAATGGCAAAATTTAACAAAAAGGAATTGGCATCTTCGTATATTGCCCCCTTGGAGAACCCCAACTATGCCATAAATTTGTCATGTAATGAAGGTCATCAGCCATACCCTAGGGGTATATGTTCCAAGTGTCAACCACCACCAATTACATTACAATTGCAGAAATTTAGAATGATTGATCATTTAGAATACGCCAACCATTCGATTTTGAATGATTTTATCAATGTTTGGCGTGTATCCGGAGTCCAACGATTTGGGTACTTGTATGGAAGATATGAAAAGTTTGATAAAGTACCCATGGGCATAAAAGCCGTGGTTGAAGCTATTGTTGAGCCACCACAGTTGGATGAATTGGATGGTCTAACATTATTGGACTGGCCCGATGAAACTCTAGTTGATGAAGTTGCTGCAAAATTGGGGATTTACAAAGTGGGAGTTGTGTTTACTGATTTGACTGATCTGGGACAACAAGATGGAACTGTGTTATGTAAAAGACATAAAGATAGCTATTTTTTAACCAATTTGGAAATATTGATGGCGGCCAAGTTCCAAATTGCCAATCCCAACACCACAAAGTATAGTAGTAGTGGTCAATTTTCATCAAAATTTGTCACTTGTGTCATATCGGGTGGATTACAAGGAGAGATTGAACCACGGTCATATCAAGTTAGTTCCAGTGGTGAAGCATTGGTTAAAGCTGATTTAATCACAGGGTCTACTCAACCATCACAAATTTATGTCAATGAAAGTAACGATGTACGGTATGTGCCTGATATACAATACCTGAAAATTAACGAATATGGATTGGAAGTCAAGAGCAATGCCAAGCCTACTTTCCCTGGTGAATTTTTGTTAGTTTCATTGACTGATTCGTTCCCCTTGGATCCTACTCCGTTGTTTTCTACCCATCCGGGCTATGTTATTGAAAATCGTGATTTCCTTGGTGATGTGAACCATGATTTCCAGAATTTATCAACATTGGATAAATTTATCAAACTGCATGGTGGCGATTTATTTGATTTCCATTTTGTCATCTATGTGGTCAAGTTGCGGGTGTTGAATGATGATGAAGTTGAGTTGTTGCTCAAGTATGTGAGAGATAAACAAGAACAAGATTATTTACAATTGATTGGCAGTGGTGGATGGATGTCATTGTTGACTATATTGGAGCATAGTACATAGCTACATAGAGGTGAGGAAGAAGGAATGGTCTATAGTATGATTGAACGAAAAAAAAAAAACAAAAAAAGGACATTTAGATCCACTAAACAGGTAGTTGATTCGTGTAAGCAAAGAGAGCCGTCTATTTATTATTTATCTGCCCTTGAGCTGGGGTTAAAATCGGTGTTATTTCTCCGAACACGTGCCGATTTTGTAATTTAAATAATTTTGACAGGATGGCGTAGTTTAAATAGCGCTTATGTTCAATTGTGGCAATGACATCACACTTTTGGGTAGAGTTTGTATGATGTGTTTATAGAAGATTGGGTGGATTGGGTGGGTTATTTTTTTTTTTTTTTGATACCAACACAACACTCACAAAGTAGGTTTGATCTAGTGTTCTTAATAGAATCGCCAAGAATGAGGTAGAATGAAGGATCGAAGATAAAAGAATGATATAGAATATTGTGCAATGGTGCACTACCTATAGTTTTCTTTTTAACGGCCGATGCTACCAAGTACACCATACTAGTACTAACTAACTACTAACTCATCACCAAAAAATTATAATTAATAAATTTATGTCAAAGAAAAAGAAACGACACTTTTTCACCAACAGCAAAAGAAAAAACTTTTTTTTATTTTTATATATATACATGTATTTTTTTCACTTGAATATTCTATTGAATTCTTCTTCTTCTTGTTATATACATATATATATATATACTCACAAGTCAATTGATTTACTTTTCAATAATAGAAAGAGATTATAGATATATACACACCTTCCTACCTGAATTTTAAAAAGAAAGATGTCTGTTCCATTTGGTGTTGATTTAGGTAATAACAATACTGTTATTGCCTGTGCCAAAAATAGAGGTATTGATATTGTTGTCAATGAGGTTTCTAACCGTTCAACTCCTTCATTAGTTGGATTTGGACCTAAGTCCAGGTACTTGGGAGAAACTGCCAAGAACCAACAAACTTCCAATATCAAAAATACGGTTGAGAATTTAAAGAGAATTGTTGGGTTACCTCATAATCATCCTGATTTCAAGATTGAACAGGAGTATTTCACTGTGCCTTTGGTACAAAACAAAACCGACCATGGGGTTTCTGCTAAAGTCAAATACTTGGGTAAAGATCATGAATTCACTGCTACTCAATTATTAGCCATGTACTTGGATAAAATCAAGGATACTGCCGTTAAGGAAACCAAGGGTAACGTTAATGATATTTGTTTATCAGTTCCAGGTTGGTACACTGAGAAACAACGTCGTGCTGCTGCTGATGCATGTAAGATTGCTGGATTGAACCCAGTCAGAATTGTCAATGAAATGACTGCTGCTGCTGTTGGATATGGTGTTTTCAAAGCAGCTGATTTACCAGAAGATGATTACAAAAAAGTGGCATTTGTTGATGTTGGACACAGTTCATATCAAGTTTCAATTGCTGCTGTCAAAAGAGGTGAATTGAAGATTTTGGGAGCTGCCTATGATAAACACTTTGGTGGAAGAAATTTCGATTACGCCATTGCTGAGCATTTTGCTGATGAATTCAAAACCAAGTACAAGATTGATGTTAGAGAAAACCCTAAAGCTTATTACAGAGTATTGACAGCTGCCGAAAAATTGAAGAAGGTTTTAAGTGCCAACACACAAGCTCCTTTCAATATCGAGAGTGTTATGAATGACGTTGACGTTTCATCATCATTGACTAGAGAAGATTTGGAAAACTTGGTTAAACCATTGTTGGAAAAGATTCACATTCCAATTGAAACCGCATTGAAGGATGCTGGATTAAAAGCTGAGGAATTGGATTCTATTGAAGTCATTGGTGGATCTTCAAGAATCCCCACTGTTAAAGCCAAGATCTCTGAAGTTTTTGGTAAGCCATTGTCGTTTACTTTGAACCAAGATGAAGCTATTGCTAAAGGTAATGCTTATATCTGTGCTTGTCATTCTCCAACTGTTAGAGTCAGACCATTCAAGTTTGAAGATTACAACCAATACACTGTTTCATACTTTTGGGATAAAGAAGATAACGAAGATGAGGACCACTTGGAAGTATTTCCTAAAGGGGGATTGTTCCCAAGTACCAAGATTATTACCTTGTACAGAAAAGGACCATCTTTTGACATTGAAGCTAAATACACCAAACCACAAGAATTACCAAAGGGTACTGAACACTTTATTGCCAAGTGGAAGATTGGTAATGTTGAACCAAGTGCTGGCGAATCTTCAATTGCTGTTAAATTGAAGTTGAGAAATGATCCATCTGGTTTCTACACTATTGAATCAGCCCATACTGTTGAAGAACAAATTGTTAAGGAATTGGTTGAACCAAAGGAAGGTGAAGGTGAATCCAAGGGTGGTGATGACGATGAAGAAGAGGAACAAGCTGAACCACAATATAAAGAAGTTAAGAAATTGGTCAAGAAGAATGATTGTTCAATTGAAGTTGACTGTGCAGCCTTACCCGAAGCTCAATTACAAAAATTCATTGAAGAAGAAGGACAAATGATTGCTGAAGATAAATTGGTTGCTGATACCGAAGAAAGAAAGAATCAATTGGAAGAATACATTTATGAATTGAGAGGTAAATTGAGTGAAGAATACAAGGACTTTGCCAAGAATGAAGAAGTTGAGAAATTGACTGGATTGTTACAAAAGGCTGAAGATTGGTTGTATGATGATGGATACGAATCAACTAAAGCTAAATACATTGCCAAATATGAAGAATTGGCTTCAATTGGTAATGTCATTAGAGGTAGATATTTGGCCAAGGAACAAGAAAAGAAGGAACAATTTAGACAAAAACAAGAAGCAGCTCAAGCACAAGCCATGGCTGAGAAAATGGCCAATGCTAGAAAAGAATCGAAAGGTGGTAAAGAGGGTGATAAGAAGGATGCTGAAGGTGATACCAAGATGGATTGAATACGAGGTATGTTTAGGAGAAGCAATAGAAAAGAGAAGGAGAAGGAGAAGAAGAAGAAGAAGAAGAATTAAGAAATAAGAAATAAGAAATAAGAAGCAAGGGTAAATTTTATAAAGATTTATTTTTTTATTATTGTTTGTGTGTATAGTAAATTATAAAGAAATCCTTATCTAAAGTATTGAGTTTGGAGGAAGGGAGGGAGAGAGGGAGAGAGAGTATAAGTTGTAAGGTTAGGGCAGGTTTTTGTATGAAGCGTGGTGGTGATGATTTGATGAATTACTTACTTTTTGTTTTTCGAGTAATGTCGTAACCACCAAATACTAAACAAATGTCGTGTTTGTGAGTGGGTATAATCTGCATGAGCGTAGATGAATGAAGAATTTAAAGATTTTTGGGAAGGAGAAGCCTGTGATATGTTAGTTTCTCTTAGATGGGGGTAATAATAGGGGGAATTTTGAACAAGAAACAGCTTATATACCTAGCGTGGTGGAAGTTGATGTTGAGTCTGTAGGAATAATGACGTAGAGAGATGAGAAATGTCGTTAGTATAGTAAGAGACATTTTATTAGTTTTGACTACCAGAAGACCAAACACTATAAAGAAACAAAGAAACAAAGAAACAAAGAGAGAGAGAGAGAGAAAAAAAATTATTTTAATTATTAAAACATCTGCACATGCAGTTATCATCTATCATCATCTATCATCATCTATCACCATCTATCATCATATAAACTGTTTACACACACCTATTCGATCCATAGAACCAACACCACTATACACCACCTACCCACAAAACAAAAAAATATAAAAATTCATTGGTTGTCCATTCACAACGAAGACCTTACTCTGTAACTTTATACATCTTATTACTACAAACCACACATACATACTAGACAGACATACACATTTTTGTACAATCATACCTTTCAGAGCTATCAATTGATTTACTACTACTACTACTATCCTTCCCCCTCCTTTGGTATAATTATTTTTAAACTTTGAAAACTCAGTCCTAGATATTTATATGCCAAATACGAAATCCAAGCTTTCATTAGCTATACAACAAGCAGATAATTCTGTTTCAAAACAAGATAATCAGGACACACAGTACAACCATGGCTACAACAACCCCCCCCAATATAATCACCATCAACATCAACACCCTTCTTCCTCGCAAAATAGCTCACATAATGACCGGCAAGAATCTTGGAGTAACGATGACACATCCAAACATCGGCATCACTTGAGAACGAAAAGCGGTGGATCTACGCAGAGCAGTGGTAACAATAACAACACACACACTGGTACGGGTACCGGATACAATACAAACAATGTTGATATAAATTATCATCATCATCATCATCATCATCATCAGCAGCATCATCATCAAGCAAATACTTTTGCCGAGAGTCAAAATGGAAATAGTTTTAAACCCATTCCCAGCCCTTCTTTGCTTCCTAATTTGATTCAACATAGTTCACCATATGTATCGACAACTGCATCTTCAGCCAAACATTTTAAACCGGAGTTGTCACCATTAAAGACGAGCTTTGATGAGGAGAAACGTCACTCGATTATTGAATCTCAATTGGAACTGCAGTACAATGACGGCGATGTTGATGATGAGGAATATGGGGGTTCATTTTGGGATAAACCTCAGCAACAACAACTACAGGAAGATGACGATGAGTATGAACTTGAAGTGAAATCGTCAAAGAGTCGTTATCTTTTGCATCATCAATATAACCAAGGAAAAGAACTTGATCAGAAAAAGAAGAGAAAGAAGGACAGATCGCATAGCACATTTGAGGAGACAAACATAGAGAGTAAATTAGATATAGGGCAACAAGATAAGGCCCTGCAGCAGCAGCAACACAACAACGATGACGATCATGAAAATGACGACGACGATGATGATGAAGAAGATGACGTGCCAGTAAACCCCGCCGAAGAAGAGGATTTAAAAGATTATGTACCCGGAGGATACCATCCGTGTTTTATTGGAGAAGAATACAAGAATGGGAAATATACATTAGTACGGAAACTAGGTTGGGGCCATTTTTCTACTGTATGGCTTGCCAGAGACAATGATAAGCAATGCCATGTGGCGGTAAAAGTTGTAAGATCAGCCAAGCATTATACAGAAACCGCCATTGATGAAATCAAATTATTGGATAAAGTTACGACTTCCGATATTCATCATCCTGGACATCAACATGTGATTCAATTGTTGGACACTTTTACTCATAAAGGATCTAATGGTGTTCACGTGGTCATGGTATTTGAAGTCCTAGGAGAAAACTTGTTGGGCTTGATCCGTCGTTATAAACACCGAGGTATTCCCATTGTGTTTGTTAAACAAATTGCCAAACAATTGTTATCGGCATTGGATTTCCTTCATCGAATGTGTGGGGTTATCCACACTGACTTAAAACCGGAAAATGTCTTGATTGAAATTGGTGATGTTGAGCAAATTGTTCGAATGGTTGAACAAGAAAATAAGGAACGCAAATTGCAACGAAAATTGCTGAAATCATCAAAGATATCAACGGCAAATAGTTCATACGGTAACATTAAGGAAACAGAACAAAATAATCAACGTATCAACAGTAATAGTAAAGCAACTTCGATTGCATCGCCAACAAACCAAATTGTATCACCATCATTGGGCCGGTCAGGAAGAAGATCTCGCAGACAAACTTTAATTACCGGATCTCAACCATTGCCTTCACCATTGAGAGCATTTAATAAATCATTTACCAATATTTATGGATTTTCAACAACGACAAATACACCTATCAAGAGTTCGTCTATAAATAATTCAACAACAACAGACTCACCTATTCCCTTATCAAGCACGGCTGAACATCATGATGAAGACAATGATATTGACCATAGTACGTTGAACAATTCATTAAGTTCAATGTCAATCTCCAATTCAAATAGTTATCAACCGGTCAATGTAAACCCCATGCAAATTCCCAATGATTCAAATTATCGACTCGATGACTCATCAGCCAATTTCGATGATGTGATTAATGAAGATGAATTGATATCGGTTAAAATTGCCGATTTGGGTAATTCTTGTTGGACCAATCACCACTTTACTGATGAAATTCAAACACGTCAATATCGAGCACCAGAAGTTCTCTTGGGATATCATTGGGGGTGTTCAAGTGATTTATGGTCATTTGCTGCACTTATATTTGAATTACTCACGGGAGATTATCTATTTGACCCAAGAGATGGAAAATCTTATTCTAAAGATGATGACCACCTTGCCCAAATCATTGAATTACTTGGTGACTTTCCCCGAATGATGATTAAGGAAAGTTACTATGGTCGCGATTATTTCAATTCTCGATTCGAAATGAGACGTATACTGAAGTTGAAACCATGGGGATTAAAAGATGTGCTTGTTGAAAAATATAAATTTTCCATTAGTGATTCAATTGAAATTGCTGATTTCTTGTTGCCGATGTTGGCTTTACAACCGGAAGAAAGAGCTGATGCCGGTGGAATGATTAATCATCCGTGGTTGAGAGATGCTTTGGCTTTGGAAAATGTGGTTTTGGAAAGACCTGTGGGTGGCAGCGGGGAAGATATACCTGGATGGTCGAAGGAGTTGCCGTCGAGTCATGTATCTTCAAAGGCTTCGTTGTCGAATATAAGACAAAAGTTCAACTATCGTTAGATTTGAGAAACTAGAGAGGTGATGTTATTGCTGAGGTGCACACTCGTTCAAAGTACACACTATCCACTTTAGCTTGTTACAGAATAAATAGTCTTGTACAGTATTTATTGCATCTTTAGTCAATATATTTATCATAATTGAAACGATGAGAAGGAGAGAGAGAATGGCGATGTAAGAGTAGTTAGTTCGAGGATAATGTATTTTGAAACTGTTTTCTGGTAATGGTAGTGCACTTTTCACCAAAATTGCTTTTGGACAAATTTCAATCACATTTGCCGGAGTGAGCGTCAAAGCCCAAAAAGCCCAAAACCCAAAGTCAAACTATCAAATCCAACATCACCAACCATCCAATTGACCTTTTAGATTATACACAAAGACACACTCATTCATTCCCAGCCAGACCAAGAGGATGTTGCAAATTGAACAGAATAACTTGCTTATACAAAAGACTTTAACTGAGAGGTTGTTCCCTCAAACAGACTCGTTAAAATCATTGGATCGTATTATAACTGATTTTGATTTCACCACTTATCATATCAGTACTTTACCCGATGATAAATCGAAATTGCTCTTGTCATTAAATTTAAAATGCTGGAACGATTTAGTTAAATACAACGTTGAACAATATTTACATTCGAAATATTCTTCATATCAAAGTTTAACCATCTTGAGTTCTAATCAAGTTGAACAAGGATATAATTATTCAATTGTATTGGACACTGCCACATCAGCTCAATCGGATGATGAAGATACGAAATTGAGATTAATTGATGATTTGAGTTTATTGAAACGTAATGCCATGGCATCGGCTTTCCATAAAGCCTTTGATAGATATGATGAATTACTGGCAAAATACAGCAACTCCAACACTTATGCCGAAGAAGTCCAACAAGAGTTGAGTAATGAACCCGTTTTGGTCATGAAGTATCGTGGTGCTGATGAAACGATATATTTGAAACCGTCCTTTGATCGAGTAACGGTGATTTTCTCCACCATGTTTCAGGACGAAACCGATAAAGTGTTTGGTAAGGTGTTTTTGCAAGAGTTTGTGGATGCTAGAAAAAGATCAGTTCAAACTGCACCTCAAGTATTGTACACTCAATCGGAACCGCCTTTAGATATTGCCCAATACGTTCAAGGCAGTAAGAAAGATGAAAATAAGGGGTATGTTACATTTGTCTTGTTTCCTAGACATTTGGTCAAGGGTGATAAACGAGAAAATTGTATTTCTCATATTGAAATGTTTAGAAGTTATTTCCATTATCATATTAAATGTGCTAAAGCGTTTATGCATTCGAGAATGAGATTTAGAGTTAAAGAGTTTTTGAAGATTTTGAATAGAGCTAAACCCGAGAATTTAGATGATGAAGGTAAGGTGATTGAGAATAGAAAGACTGCAAGTGGTAGGAGGTTTGATCTTAAGGCTTAGATATTCTCTAAATACAAAAATATTGATAAATAAAAGCTAAAACTTTCATCAACATCTTAAAACAACGATGGAACTTGCTCATCAAAGCATTTATATATACATATATATATATACAGGATCTATTTTACGGTTCTCTCTTGAGATACTCTTTATTGCTTAGGTTTCTTTACTCCGTATTTACTTCTTGATGATGATCTATTAGCCACTCCCACCAAATCATAAGCACCACGAACTAAATGATACTTGACACCAGGAACATCCTGTACTCTACCGCCTCTAACCAAAACCACATGATGCTCTTGCAAATTGTGTCCTTCACCAGGTATCAACGCACTGATAACTTTCCCATTAGTCAATCTAACCCTACAACACTTTCTCAATGCCGAGTTTGGCTTTTTGGGTTTCAAAATCATTATCCTTAATATAACTCCCTTTTTGAAGGGGTTGCCTTGCAAATCGGGTGATTTAGTGATGTTTTTCTTTGGTGGTTGGAAATGTTTGAAATGTTGGATTTGGTTGATTGACGAATATCGTAATTGCTGGAATGGGAATGAAATTGCAGTATTGGCGAATGGGTTGGTTGTTGTTGGTGATGCACGTATACGTTGAATTGATCGGAGATATGATGATGAAGAGGATGCAGATGTGGCGGGTATATTATGTGGCCTTGATATTGGTCTTATTAGTGAGCTTAGACTAGCTCCAAGATTGGAACGAAACATCCTGCTAATCAACAATAACTTGGGGTTGTTTCAACAAAGAGTTTTTGGCTATTGGCTTTTGGCTATTTTGAAAAAATTTTTGCTTCTGACTTTAAAAAATAAAAAAGAAAAAGATTTCAACCAGTGAGAAAACTGGAGAGCGACGAAAATTTAAAACAGTCCAACTGCAACAAACCATATACTCAACTCTTCATCCAAGACTATAACAACAACTACAACTACAACTATAAGCATAACGACAACATGTTTAGAAACATCGTATCAAAATCATTGAGAACTGCCAATAGGTCATTATTCACATCATCATCTGCCCAACTCATAGCTTTCAAGTCCATGCCATCAGTGGCTCAATTGAAATCATCACCAGTTCAAAAACAACATCAACAACAACAGCAAACAAACCTCAACTTTGTTCGTTCATATGCTGGATTCCCAGCATTAACTAGAGACGCCGCCAAGGAAAGAGTTATAGAATTATTAGAAGGGTTTGATAAAGTAGACACTGCCAAGATTGGCGAAATTGCCGAATCAGCCAGCTTTGTCCAAGATTTAGGGTTGGATTCATTGGATGTTGTTGAAGTAGTTATGGAATTGGAACATGAATTCAATATACAAATACCTGATAGTGAAGCTGATTCATTAAAGACTGTCGGTCAGGCTATTGATTATATTTTGGCTCAGCCTGATGCTTGTTAGGCGATGGTATATATATACACACACAAGCGATGGAAACACGCTTTTGTCGATGTCTCCAACCTTGTTTATAAAGGCCTTTAGTCTTTCTTGAGAAATGTGCTAATGGGGCTTTCTCTTTTGAAGGGGCCCTACTTAGTTTTATATATCCCGTATAGTGAAAATATTTATTTGACCTACCATCAATGCTGTTTTAAGTTGGAAGTAGCAAGCATCCTAATACTCTAGTTTTGGCAATACAGAGCAACTTGACTGGAGACGAAACTAATCTATACGTCAGTGGTTTTATTGTGTAGCAGTTGAAAGCTTTACCGATGCATGTCTTGGTTTAATGTCGTCAACTGTTTACGACACAGAGATTTCGTTTTTTATTTTTTTTTCTTCTCACCAATAAGAAACAAGAAGAAAATAATTAAAAATTACCATAGAATTGGCTACTACATCAAAACACCACCATATCCAATAACCATGGTTTCAGTATGTACTCAACACAACTAAACGTCCTCAAGGGTTTGAAGGATCTATGCCCCCTTCCCTTCCACAGACTCCACTTTTTCAATGTCATATATTGTCTCACAATACTAACTGTCCCACCTATTTTAGTACGTTAGAGGTCCAGCTTACAAAGCTCTTTCCCATTTCGGAAAATTGAACCCACCATTAGTCAGATCATACATTCCAGACTTGATCTTCTGGGGAGGTGCAGCAGGTGCCGGTGTTGCTACTTTTACTGAAGGCTGGCCATTGTTTCAACAAACATTTTATGAAAAGATTCCATTTTTTGGACAACATTGGGTCCACAATCCTGATCCAGAAGATGTTCCAGTTTAAAAGGAGAAAAAGTGGTC